CGGATGTATTCGATAACCTGCCTCCCGCCTCTCTGTTCAATTGTGTATAATAAACACACTGAGCTTCCTCATCAGAGGGCCCTGTCCACCTGATCCCGCTTTTCTGTGTGCTTGTTTCTGAGAATGCATCATCTCTCCGTTCTCTGGATTGGAGCCATTTAAGGGTTACACCTCTGTACTGCAGGCACGTGGAAGGCTGGGGTGAGAGGACTGAGAATTCATGTCCAGGCTAGAGATGGAGCTCAGTGGACTTGCATGCCAGGATCCCAGGTTCAATCCCCAGCACAAGAGGGGACAGGAGTTGGAGGCCGTTTTAGATAACACAGCAAGTTCCAGTGAAACCCCATAAAACAAAACAGGCCAGGCAAGGTGGTGCTCACCTTTAATTCCAGTACTCAAGAGACAGAGGTAGGTGGTTCTCTGAGTTGGAGGCCAGTGTGGTCTACATAGTGAGTTCCAGGACACTCTGGGTTACACAATGAGATTCTGTCTCAACCAATCAACCAAAGCGCACAGGGGTGGTGGAGCTTGCCTATAATTCCAGCACTGAAGAGGCTGAGGAAAGAGGAGGATAGGCTTGACTAGCCTGGGATACATAGCCAATCCTAGGCTAGCCTGGGCTACCTAGAAAGACCCTGTCTAAATTAATTAAGTAAACTAACAAACAAGAAAATAGTGATTTGGAATTGTCAAGTAGAGGTGCCTGGTTTTATCTGTTCTGAATTCATGAATTCTGACCCAGTGGAACAGGAGAATTTCAAGGTTGTGCTGACTAATTTTATGTCAACTTTGTAGGTGGAAATTTCTGTCCTGACAGCCAGCTCCCAAATAACAACATAGAGACTTATTAATTATAAATGCTTAGCCGATAGCTTAGGCTTGTTACTAAGTAGCTTTTACAACTTAAACTAACCCATATTTATTAATTTACATGCTGCCACATGGCTCATGGCTTGTTACCTCACCTACACGTCCTGCTTCCTCTGCATCTGGTTGGTGGCTCCACCTTCTTCTAGGAGTTCTCTCTGTCTGGCTCTTCCTCCTATACCTACTCCTGCCTGGCTATTGGCCATTTAGCTTTTTATTAAACCAATGAGAACAACACATCTTCAGTGTACAAAAGGATTTTTCCACAAAACAACTTGACATGGGCTACAGTCATCTGAGAGGAAGAAACCCCAACTGGAAAAAAAAAAAAATTCCATAAGATCCAGCTGTAAGGCATTTTCTTAGTGATTGTTGGGGAAGGGCCCAGCCCACTGTGGGTGGTGCCATCCCTGGGCAGGTGGCCCTGGGTTCTATAAGAAAGCAGGCTGAGTAAACCATGATGAACAAGCCAGTAAGCAGCACCCCTCCCATGGCCTCTGCATCAGCTCCTGCCTCCAGGATCCTGCCTTGTTAGATTTCCTGTCCTGACTTCCTTCAGTGATGGACTAAGATATGGAAGCACAAGCCAAATAAACCCTTTCCTTCCCAACTTTTTTAGGTCATGGTGTTTCGTCCCAGCAACAGAAACCCCAAGACAAAGGTGTTATGGAAGATTTCATAGGAGGGCAGAACGAGCAGGATTGTAACCCTCAGTGAAGACAGAAAGGAGAAGATGAGCTGAGAATTAAAGCACTGAGTGGGATGTAAATATATTCGAGAACAGGGAGGGGACAGTTCATTCACCATGAAGTCAAAAGGATAGATGGGTAGAGAAGGGTTGAAAGAGTAGAATTAGTGAGCCTACAGTGGTGAGATATAGCAATAAAAATAAGTCTTTTAAAATTGTGTTTTGAGACAGGGCCTCATTACAGCCCAGATTGGCCTTGAACTCATTATGTAGCCCAGGTTGACCTCTAATTCATGATCCTCCTGCCTCAGCCTTGTCTTTGCTGGGATCACAAGGATGTGCCACCATGCCCAAGGAGAAATCTGAAGTATCTCTTGGACACGCAGGTTAGAAACCCTGGAGTGGTGTCTCACACCTGAGGCTTCCAGTGGACAGAGGATCTTCAAGTACTCCCCAGCTGGGAGGTCCCCTCCATCCGCAGCCTCCATTTTGTTCACCGTGGGGGCCTTCTTCCCTTCACGATTGTTGACTGCCCTCTGCTGGTCAATTCTTCCTTTGACTCTCCAGAGAGTTTAATCTGAAAGCATGCGGAAAAACGGGATTCTATTAGTTACTGTGATACATCTTCGATCACAACTGTGTTTAAAGCCTTGTTGAAGAGATCAAAACAAAACTGCATCCTAACTCTCAGGACACGTACAGCCCAGTCTGAATGAAGATGAGAACACGGGTCCATTCATTCACATAACAAGGTAAAGACTTGAGTGTGAAGAAGACTTCCCGTACAATGAGGAAGTGGAGGATGGGAGGAGCAGGAGGAGGTCAGAAAGTGTCTTTTCTTTCTTTTTTTTTAAGACAGGTCTTATGTAGCACAGGATAGCCTCAGACTTGCAATGTAGCAGAAGAGGATTTTGAACTTCCCCGATCCCCCTGCTTCCACCTTCCGAGTGCTGGGATTACAGGTATGTGCCCATCACACCCAGTTCATGAAGTTCTAGGAACTGAACCCAAGGCCTCACATGCTGCAGTACTCCACCAGCTCAGCTGCGTCTCCAGTCAGTGCAGCTTGGCCGGACCTTGAACTGACAGCAATCTTCCCGGTGTGTTTTCCCAAGTGCTGGCACTGTACCCCTGAGATATCACATCCGACCAGAGGAGACCAAGGACACAAGGATGAGGAAGAGCTTGTCAACACAGAACAGCCTGGACAAGGCCAGATAACCAGGGGATGGAATGGAATAAAAACCTGTGAAGAGTGGTTAAGTGTTAGGTCGTGCCACACAAGCAGCCATGGCAGGGGTTAAGGTTAGCGGCTGTGTGGCTGCCTCAATACACCCGAACATAGAAACTCATGATCCTCATAGGTAGACAGGGTCTCACTCTGTAGCTCTGGCTGTCCTGGAACTCACTCTCTAGACCAGGCTGGCTTTGAACTCCCAGAGATCCACCTGCCTCTGCCTGCCTAAAGACACGCCCCAGCCTACTGCATCTTCTCAAAGATTGACAAGTGGTAGGACCACCACGCAACTGGGCTGATTTAAAACATATTTAGAAGGCGGAATAAATAGAGTTTTTTATTTTTATTTTATTTATTTATTTTTTACGAAAGAAGAGATTCCTTGCAAGGTGAGTGTGGTAGCTCAAATGTAATCTTAGCAGTCAGCGGACCGAGGCCGAAGGACTGCCGAGAGTCTCAAGCAGGCCACTCTGGGCTGCAGTGAGACTGTCTGAAAAAGCAAAGGAACAGAAAGATTCCTTGCACGCAACTCATTGGTGGTGGAAGAAGTATAGGATCCGGCTGGAATGAGTCGGGGCATTGAGGAGAGCTAGCCTAAGGAATGCCGAGGATTCAGTGATGGCCGTGAGGCTAGACAGAGTGTTAGGAGGGTAAGATACCCATATGATGGTGGAAACCAGTACAAATACATAAAAAGCTCCATGAATTCTCAGAGCTCCAAGGATGGAGAAGATTTTGCTATGCAAGAAATTAAATATAAAAAGAACAAGTCTCCAAGAAGTAGGGAAGGTGAAATCATAAGAGGTTGAGAAAGGATGAGTTCCCTAGCTTGGTTAATATACATAGAGATTTTAACCTGTTTCTGGTACTCAACGAATACTCAATACCAAGTTATTGTCTCGGCTGCAGATCTGCGGTGGTTAAGTTTCTATAGGCCTGTAATACACGAAGTTAATCTCAAGAAAATTCAAATGAAGGCTTGCTTAGCATATACCTGAACCCCCGATTCGGTCCCCAGCACCACGTGAACCTGGTATGCTCATACACACCTGTAACCCCAGCACTTGGAAGGTAGGGCCGGAGGATCAGAAGTTCAAGGTCATTCTTAGCTACAGGACAAGGTCAAGGGCAGCCTGGATACATGAGGTCCTGCCTAAAATTTAAAAAAGAAAAATCCAAATGAGAGAATGTTTGTTTCTTGGGTCTCCAGGGTCATCAGGCCATGAATTTCAAAGATGCCCTCTTGTCCTGGAAATTTCAGGCTTGCCTATCATTGCATAACATCCACAGTCCCAAACAAAACACATCTTCACTCAAATCCTTCATTATCCCATGAACCGTTACAGAATTCTCCAAGTGCCTGGGATGCTAGCGGCCAATACAGCTGTGTCTATATAATTCAGCTTCTACGCTACCCCGACCTGACCCAATGAAGTGGTGCGGTCTTTTTATTTCCTCATTTAAATAGGAAGGGGAGGGTTAAAAAAAAAAAAAAAAAAAAAAAGACTGCCGTCACGAACAGGATTCGAACCTGTGCGGGGAAACCCCATTGGATTTCGAGTCCAACGCCTTAACCACTCGGCCACCGTGACTCCCAAAACTGCGCTCCGCCGCGGGCTTACAGAAAGGGTCCGCGCGGCGGCCGCGCACGGCTCGGGCGACCCCTCGGCTCCCTCCCGGCCCGGCCCGGGACGGTCGGGGGTTCGGGGCTCGCCCAACCCGTTCCTTCATCGGAGACGACGGGCAAGACCCCCCCTGCCCCGGGGCCCCCGGGGGTGGCGGGCGCCGCAGGGTGCGGGGTGCGCCGGGGACCCCCGGGGGGCTGAAAGAGAAAGGGAACCCGCGAAAGGAACTTGTCGGAGCGAAAGGGCTCGGGGTGCCGCGGGGACGAGCACGATGGGGGCCCCCGGGGCGCCGGGGCGGGGCTCCCGGAGACCGGCGTCCCCGCGCGGTGCAAGAGGGAGCCCCCTCCGCCGCCAGACAGACCGACCCCGGCGGGCGAGCAGCCGCCGCTGCCCGGGTGCGCCCGCCCGCCCGCTCGCCCGCCCTCCCGCCGCCGCGCCGGGCCGGGCCGCCGGCAGGGGGCGCTCCGCAGGCCGGGGCCAGCCCAGGCGGCGGGAGGCGGCGGCCGCGGCGGCGGGAGGCGGCGGGAGGGCGGGCGGAGGAGGGGAGGCGGGAGCTGAGCTGAGCTGAGCTGAGCGGGGCGGGCGGGCGGGCGGCGGCGGCGGGGCCCGAGCCCGAGAAGATGGCGGTGCGGAAGAAGGACGGCGGCCCCAACGTGAAGTACTACGAGGCCGCGGACACCGTGGCCCAGTTCGACAACGTGCGGCTCTGGCTCGGCAAGAACTACAAGAAGGTAGGGCGCCCGGCCCGGGCCCGACCGGCCGGGACAAAGGGCTCGCCCGCTCGCCCGCCGGCTCCCCGGGGGCCGGCCCACCCTCGGGCCGCCGCGCCCGCCCGCCCCTCCCTCCCGCCCCCGGCCCCGCGCCCCTCCCCCACCCCGCCCCCGCCCTGCCCTCTGCCCCGCGCTCCCCCGCGGCGGCTCGCGGCTCGGGGCGGCGGCCGGCCCCGGGGCCCGATCGCTCTCGCCCTCAACCGGCCCCTCCAGGGCGGGCCAGCCGCGGGGTGTGCGAGCCGCGGGGTGTGCGAGCCGCGGTGTACGAGCCGGGGTGTGCAAGCCGCGGGGTGTGCGAGCCGCGGTGTACGAGCCGGGGTGTGCAAGCCGCGGGGTGCGAGCCGGGGTGTGCGAGCCGGGGTGTGCGAGCCGCGGGGTGTGCAAGCCGCGGGGTGCGAGCCGGGGTGTGCGAGCCGCGGGGTGTGCGAGCCGGGATGTACGAGCCGGGATGTACGAGCCGCGGGTGTGCGAGCCGCGGTGCCCCGCCGAGCCGGGTCCCGGCGCGGCCCAGGCCTCCCCGGTCGGTCCGTCGGTCGGTCGGTCGGTGCTTTGTGTCGGTGCAGAGGCGGATGGGGAAGGCGGGAGGGTAGACAGGCATCGAGCGGGCCCGATGGCCGGGTCTCCACCTGGGGGGAGTCACCTGTCTCCCCCAGGCCCCCCCTGCACACCGCCTTCTTCCCCGGGGGACCGGGGCGCGCACAGAGTCGCAGGGCAGCAGCCCCGCAGACCTCCCCCGGCCTCACGATGCAGCCGCCGCTCTGCCACCCGGCCGGCCTGGCGTGGCTTTGGGTTCGAGCAGGTCCCCAGGCCGGGGCAGGCTTCCGATCGCCGGTCCCCACCCCCACCCCGCCTCTGGAAATCGTGGGGTGGCGAACAAAAGGGTTCGAGAAGCCCTGCCTGCCCTTTATTATTATCATCATTATCATTTTTTAGACAGATCTCATCCTTGTGTTTTCACTGACGCTCGCTCGGCCTTTCCCCCTTTCCGGGCACGGCCTGCTTCCCCCCGGGCCAAGGGTTCGTCCCCGCGCCCCCCAGCTCGCTTTCACAGCCCCAACTCTCCCCACCCCAGCCTGGCAGGCCGTCAGACTGTGGCGGGCAGCCCCGGGACCCCCGCTGACCCTGGCTCTGAGACCGGCTGGGTCCTCTGCCAGCCTCTTGACAAACAGCTGCTGGGCCTGGGGCTTGTGCGCAGCCCCGGCGGGAGGCTCCGGTTCCCGGTGGTCTGCTTTTGACCTTTGGAAGGGAGCCCCGACCTAGGGTCGGAGTCTGGAGCCCCGAGGGGATCGACAGCTGTGACCTGATTCAGCTTTCAAGTTCTTTGTCATGGGCTTCTCCCTTCACGGATCTTTTCACACCTCCCGGCCAGAGGTGCCGGCTCTCCTTAGGGTAGAGGGAATCAGGGTCAAAAGGGAAAAGGGAAAATCAGCTTCCCGGCTCAGTGAGCAGAACCGAAAGGTAGGATCCCGGGTAGCGTGGGACGGCAGTGTCTGAGGGCATTGTTTCCTCGGAAGGGATAGGAAGATGTTGTCTTCCTGCTTGTTACCAGGACAGGTGCGCGGTCCGCGCTCCTTGCTGGAGAGGAGACCCCACAAGGACAACCACGTCTGGTTTCGGTGGAAGCAAAACGTTTGAGGTTTTGCTTCCACCATGGCTGAGTTTTGAAGCCAGCTTGCCCTGCCTCGCCGCTTGGCTCTCTTAAGGCACCGTGATGGGTGGAAGCCTGGTTTTTTATCGTGTTCCCCCAAGAAATAAGATTGTTGTGCCACGCAGAGCCTCAAAGGGGTACTTGTTGTCTTGCCTTGAACTCCCTAAACCTACAGGATGTTACTGTTGGTTGGGGACGAGGTGGCCAGCTCTCAGGGTGTCCCGCAGTGCCGGCGTCGGGGTGCAGCTAAAGAGGAGTGCAGAGCTGCCCGTCCCCGGCAACCTGGACTGGGGCACAGGAGCTGCCAGAGCCCTCCCGGTACAGACAGACGTGTGGAGGAGGCAGGCACACTTTTGTCTGTCCCAGGGGCTTCCAAGAACTCACGGGAAAGCAGTGGGAGGTGGTGGAGAACCTGTCTGGAGTCTGTGTCTCTCCCTTTCCCTCCTTCCTCAGTACATACAAGCAGAACCACCGACCAACAAGTCCCTGTCTAGCCTGGTTGTACAGCTGCTCCAGTTTCAGGAAGAGGTTTTTGGCAAACATGTCAGCAATGCACCCCTTACTAAACTGCCGGTGAGTGCCACCGGGGGAGGGGGACGCGTCCTCCAAACTGGAAAGGGAATGTTTTGTTGTTTCGCTCTAATTTTTTTTCCCCTACGTGCACGTAATCTCGGAATTAGGGAGGTTGAGGTAGGAGAATCAAAAGTTGAGGGCTAGCCTGATCTACATAGCAGTTCAGATAGTGTGTGCTGTATTATGAGACCCTGTCTCAAAAGAAAAACAAAAATAAAACCCACCTTTTTTTCCTTCAAATTTCATGTTTGTAGATTTATTTCCCACAGTGATAGTCTCCGTTAGTAGTCAGGGGAGTACGGCTTGAATTAGCCCCCAGTTGACTCTCCTGTCATTGTGGAAGAACTCTGTGCAACAAGTAATCTGAGAATGGGGGCTTTAGTCCTCCGGTGTCTCTCTCATGGTTTGATTTAAAAGGGTCTGAAGTTTGGGAGCAGGAGAGATGGCTCAGTGGTTAGGAGCACTTGCAGAGGACCTGGGTTTGATTCCCAGCACCCACATGGTGGTTTACAGCCATCCATAACTCCAACTCCAGGGATTCTTCCGACCTTCATGGATACTCGTATGATGCACAGCAAGGCAAAACACTTATACACAAAATAAATAAATCTAGAAAGGTAAAATACAAGAGTGGGGTTTGAGGGCAGGTGTGGTGGCCCACATCTGATATACCCTCACTTAGGAGCCTGAGTCACAGCCAGGCATGGCGGTGCACATCTTTAATCCCAGCACTCGGGAGGCAGAGACAGGTGGATCTCTGTGAGTTCGAGGACAGCCAGGTCTACAAAGAGAAACCCTGTCTCAAAAAACAAAACAAAGAAGAAGAAGAAGAAGCCGGAGTCAGGAAGATTACAGATTGAAGCCAGCCAAGGAAACTTGGCAACACCCTGTCTTAAAATTTTAGAAAAGGGGTTCTGGAGATATAGCTCTGGTAGAGAGAGTACTTGCCTAGCCTGTGAGACGCCCTGGATTGTATCTTCGGTGCCACAAAGGAGGATGGTTCAGCAGATAACGTGCTCATTCCTAGTCTCTTGAACAACCTCCACACTGCAAGGAGAGCACACCGCCCTGTGACCTCCACGAGCGCGCACACGCGCCCCACAATTATTACATGTAATTCCTTACAAGGGGCAATGAGATTTGGATTTGCATAAAGTGGTATTTAGTCCTGGTTCTGCTACATGGTGACTGTGGGGTAACCCTTATGAGTCTTAATAATTTCATCACCACGTGAACTAAATAGACCTACTTTGTAGTGTTTCGTCAGTAGTACATGAGATAATCCAGTGGAGTGCTGGGTCCAAAGTGACATCTTCTTTATGAATATTGGTTTCTTTTCTAACTTTTCCAGGTCAAATGATGCAGTGACACGTGGGTCCCAACTCTGAGGGACGAGCATAGTGGTGTACACCTTTAATCCCAGTACCCAGGAGATAGAGGCAGGGGAATTGCTACAAGTTCCAGCCCAGCTTGGTCTACATGTGGGTTCTAGGCCAGCCAGGGCTACATAGTGAGACATTGTCTTAAAAACAGACAAACAAAACAAAGCAGTGGAGAGGGAGGTCATTTCAGAGTGGGATTTCTGTGGCAGGATGTGTATGTGACAAAAAAAATTTTTTTTACAATGTAACTTTCACACACTTTTTCCCTCTCTCAATTTTGTAGATCAAATGTTTCCTAGATTTCAAAGCAGGAGGATCCCTGTGCCACATTCTTGCAGCTGCCTACAAATTCAAGAGTGACCAGGGATGGTGAGATGCCTTCTCTCTGCTTTTTATGTTTAGTTTAGAGAAAATTCCCATTACTTCCTGGGGTCCTTCTGAAGTGAAGGAACACATTAGAAATCCTGTGTCTTTTTATTTTGATGGATCAGGAAAATAGATGTGATAGCCAGAAGAGTCCCCACAACGAATGAGTGGGTGTGGAGTCTGTGGGGAGGGGGCTCTAGGCCGGCGTCTCAGACTTTGTCCTTTTGGATTAAACACAGAGTGGCACGTAGGAGACTAGGAACCCTTCGTCTCTGTGATTGGGACAAAATTGATGACAAGATTATCTCCTAACTTCCCCTGTTAAGAAGTTACGTACCAAGCTGGGAGTTGGTGTCACACACCTTCAATCCCAGCACTTGGGAGGCAGAACAAGACAGATCTCTGTGAGTTCGAGGCCAGCCTGGGCTACAGAGTGAGTTCTAGGATAGCTGAGGCTGTTACACAGAGAAACTCTATCTTGAAAAACCAAAAAGGAAAAAAAAAAGAAGTTATGTACCCTTGGGGTTAAAGACATGGCTCAGTGGTTAAGAACACTGGCTGCTCTTCCAGAGGACCTGGTCCCATTCCCACACAGCTGCTCACAACCTTCTGTAACCCCAGTTCCAGGGGATCCCGTGACCTCTTGTGGCCTCCTCAGGCACATGGTGCACACAAGCAGGCAAAACACCCATACACGTAAAATAAAAATATAAATTAAAAAAGAAAAAAAAGTCCTGTACCCTTCCCTTTTCCCCAGACATAAACTGTAATTTACTAGATTATTGTCCCTTTACAAGGCGGCGTTACGATTTCCAGAATCCGTCACGCATGGACCGCAATGTGGAAATGTTCATGACCATTGAGAAGTCCTTGGTACAGGTAATACTCAAGCACATCTCCTGCCTATTTCCCTGTCCGAAGTAAGAGTACAGAATGGTCTTCCCTCATCTCATCTACTTCTTCTCACAGAATAATTGCCTGTCTCGACCTAACATTTTCCTGTGCCCAGAGATTGAGCCCAAACTGCTAGGGAAATTAAAGGACATTGTTAAGAGGCATCAGGTGAGTGTGAGGGAGGGCAGGTGAGTCGGGGCTTCTGTCCTCCTGACTGGTTTACTCATTGTTACCATTGCTGCACTCTTCCTCCATGACTGATGGTATCTTCACCAGGCAGCAGCCTGCACAGCATTTTCTTCTGTCCTGTCCCCCGCCACAGTAGAAAACTACAGTCAAGTCTTTGAGTAGCACTGGTCCTGTTTGTCTCCTCCGTTTCCCAGGCCTGATAGGGTGATCACTGCTCCTTGGCATTGCATTGGCCTGGATGAAGGAGACCATCTTCCACTGAACTAGACATACCTGATTTCAGATAAATGCAACCTTGGAATCAGGTGCAGTGATATGCCCTGGCAATTGAGAAGTAGAAGCAGAAAGATCAAAAGTTCAAAGTCATGCTTGGCTACATAGTGTGTTCAGACCTGCCTGGACTGTAGAGTGATACTGTTAAAACAACCACAACAAAATCTCCGCTCTTGGGAGCTATTTAATAAGAAGCAGATATTATGGGTAGGCACATACAGTCCATTTAAATTCCCTATGGGTAGGTCTCTAAGCATGAAGACCTGGGTCTGGATCCTCAGAACACGTGAAGCCTGGATGTTGCGGTTCGTACCTGTAACTCCAGTGCTGGGGGTAGAACCAAGTAGATCCTGGGGGCCGTTAACCAGCTAATCTAGTTGGAGTGTCAGGCTCCTGGTTAACTGTCTCAGAAATGTAAAGGACCCTTGTAGCTGTCCTCTACCTTCTGCACACACAAACACCTCCAATATGTAGGGTATCTATGCAGAGGGCTGTCTGTGGGACATTTAATTCTTTGGCTTTTCTCCACTGCTAACACATCATTACCACTGTGTTTCCTTGCCACTTAGGTGGTGTTGCTAGAAAATACAAACTAATTTTAATGCCACCACAAGAAAGATGTCATTAGAAAGGGAGATCCGTGGTTATATTTTAATTCTTTTATTTATACCCAAGAGTAATTCAAGAGGAAGTAGATTTACATGCTTTTCCTTGTGCTGTCCAGGGAACCATCACCGAGGATAAGAGCAACGCCTCCCATGTTGTGTATCCTGTCCCAGGGAACCTGGAAGAAGGTGAGACCAGGTTTTCTTGTCCTCGGCCGTGATGGAGGGTGACTTGGATCACTGTCCACCACCTGAGGTTCCGAGCATTGCAGTCCTGAATCCTCATCCCATGAGTTCCTGAGTCTCCTGTTGGAGCAGGAGAACACTTAAGTAAAGCCTCTGTCTGGTCGCTCTTTGTGCCCCCCACTCATCTCTCTCTTCTCTGTTCTCAGAGGAATGGGTGCGGCCAGTCATGAAGAGGGACAAACAAGTTCTTCTGCACTGGGGCTACTACCCTGACAGGTGAGGATGGGGTCTCCGGGTGGTCAGGAGAAGCAGCAGCCGCCAGACACAGAAGCCGTCTGGCAGAGCAAGAAGGCGCTGTTTCTGGATTGTTTATTTCCTTGTTTGGTTTTTTGGGAGCACAATGGTCATCCCTAGTTACTTTGGGTGAGTTAAGCAAGTACAATAACTTCCTCAATCACTTAAGTTCATGCTAAAAACCTCAAAGAATTGGTCCATCAATTTGAGCATTCCTGTGCTTCCTTAAGATTGAAGCACACTGTAAATGCCTTGGCCCAAGCCAAATGCCACTCAGACTTGGATTGAAATGTCTCCCTCAGCTCATGCCAGCACAGAAATGCCTTGATTCACAGAAACAAACATCACAGTAGAGCACATCTAAAAGTTCCTCTACCAGCATTAAAAAAAGGTCCTGACTGCAGGCCATTGTCAGACACACAAGTCCAGCAATGAACTTTTCACCCATTCTTTCTGGATTCTCAACTGGTAAATCCAACAGACCTAAAGGATCTCACAGTAGCCCACAAGCTCCAGGACAGGATCCCAAAATCAATACAAACAGCCAAGATCATAAGACACCTGATCTCTGTGTACCAATGGGACAGCTGGAAAACATTGTAGACATCAGGGCTTAACCCACAAGACACCAGGAGACAAGGTCCCAGTATTGCACTACAGTTAGAGTAAGGCTGAAGCTTTTTTAAAGCCTTGAATGCTAAGAGTTGCAGATGCCTCCTGAACACACAGACTCTGAGCACATGTGAGCCATTCATATCTAAAATGTCAAAAATAAAAAAGAAAAAACTGTCCTTTGGGAAGGCCAAAGTCCAAAATTGCATTTTCCTGAGCTCCATCCAGATTAACAGTTTTTGATTTGGCTCTCAGTCCCTGTTACATGGAAATGTTCCCCTTCTTCTCAAGAGAGTCACACTAGTTGCCAGAACTCAAGGCAGTCATAGCTTGAGTTGGCACATGAATTCAGACAAGGGATCAAAGGTCACCTGCATTCCTGTCCCAGTTTACACTTGTTCCTGATGGAAAAAGGAATTTTTTTTCCTGACCTAGAGATTTCTGACATGTGAATGACTAAGGGTAAACAGGCCACATGAGCCCACTTCTCCTTAAAGAACAACTTGAGAGTTCTGATGACACAACTTCTCATGCTGTGAAGTCCAGTCTAGAAGCCTGGCTTTGATAATGTCAACTGGAACATCCTTTGTGCCATGGTAAACATTTGCAATGATTTCCTGGAAACTGGCCTGGTTATTTGTGATGCCGCCAAGAGGAGAGCATAAATATGCTATAAAATTGTTACCATGACAGGAAACCACACATTTCCTGACTGACATGAATCAAGGCAGTGCCACTGGATCCTAAAAGCAACCCTTGGAAGGCAAGTCTCAAGCTGAGAAGTGAGTCCAAATGGGAACTTCCTGTTAGCAGACCTGTCCTCACAAGTAACCAGTTTGAATATGTCAGATATACCATCCCTTTTTGAACACTGACAAGCCTTAACAAGCTATGATTACCAATTAAAAGACCTAAATCATCCAAGCAGGGAACACCAGTTCAACAGTCTCATTGCCTTTGAGCCCTGAAGTCCTCCTCCCACCAGAGAAAGCACCATGGTGCCTGCATACAGTGCCCAGAGGCATTCTGCACTTACATGGCTCCTCTGGCACAGGAAGTGTGTCCTTGAGGCCTCCTAGCCCTCTCATGACTCCCCAAAGCCTAATCTCTCATGGGGCAGGTGAAATTGATATTTGTTTAAACACTCTGCCCAGATGCACAGAGTCCCCTGAGGGTTTCATGGAATCAATGCCAACCAATCAGTGAGAAGAGCCAAACCCAGCTGTGCAGAGAAGCTTTCCAAGCTGTGAACCATTGTCATTCACTTCCTGAGCCATTCTAAGCATGAGGGAGCTCTCTCATTTGAGTCAGCATTGCTGTAGTCCTAAGCCCTGTACCTCAGAAATTCCCTTTCCTTGTGCTCTCCGGCCTAGACGATGCTGCCTCAAATTTTTACAAGGCTTGTGCCAAGCATTGCCTCTCTAGCTGACAGCATTCAGCAGCCAGACTGCATGACATGCTCATGGTACCAGCTGACTCTCACAAGGCTCTTCTCAATATTGTGTTTCTAAAATCCTGTTGGAAAGTTTTGATGCTATCTAATGTTAAGCTGAAAAGAAAGCTTTGGTTTTGCAACAGCACTTGCTCTTGACAAGACAAGAGTCCTGGCAACCTGGTGAAGCCCCTGTAATCCTCAGTAAGATGCAAACTCATTAACAGTTGCTAGCTCCACTTGCAGGCACATCACCAACAGCCTGCTTTTGCTAAATGGCTCACACCTTACTGCTGTCACAGTATTTTGACCTTAAATGTTTCATCACAGGCCAAACCACTAACTGTACCTGAGGCTTGAAAGGAAAATTGAACTGTCTTCATTTTTTGAGCCTAAAGTGTCTTATGTCCAGTCTGAGCCTTCTGTAGCCTTAGACTCTCCTATCCCTATTTTACTCAGCCTGGGCAGATTTTTTTTTTTTTTTTTTTTTTTTTTTTTTTTTTTTGAGACAGGGTTTCTCTGTGTAGCTTTGGAGCCTGGCTGTCCTGGAACTCACTCTGTAGACCAGGCTGGCCTTGAACTCACAGAGATCCACCTGCCTCTGCCTCAAAAGCTAGTGAAGCTCCATTCCTCACCACTAAATGCCAACTGGGCATCCATAAAATCCACCAAAATGTTTCCTGAAACTTCCTGGATGAATTTTATCAGCTGAGTCCAATGAAAGAACTCCCACTATTCATTTCCTTCCTAACAAAGAGAGGATGAAACAGATTGAGGAGGCACCCCCTTGCCATTTTTGAATGTTTCTTTCCTGAAAGCTTTTGAACCTGTCTAAATTTCAAGCCTCACTGCTGGGAACTGGCCTAAAGCCTGTTTAGGCTTTACCTGCCCACTAGCTTTTTAGAGCATAGTACCCCACTGCCCTGATCACATAAATTTTGCAAACACCAGATCAGATCTGCTCTGGGGTTTACAATGGTCTCCTCCATGGATTTTACCTTCTTAGGCCCCACCTACCACTCTGCTATCCACCCCTAGAGTTCTGGTAAATTGTTCTAGGTCATCAGGCATTCATGGCTCCATAAGTTACAACTTTCCCGTTAGGCATGTACAGAAGTCATCCAAAATTCCTGTTCCATGTGCTGGAAGACAGGAACACACATGCCCAAGCAATGTTGCATCAGTTCAGACTCTAACTGGAACTTGTGCATAGGATCTGGTCCATCACTGTGGAGGTATTCAGCCCATTTCAGGGGATCCCTGCATTCCTCCCTGCATCTTATGTTGGGGAGCCTTTCAATCTATGACTCCTTTGAAATCCTTCCTATTATGGAAATACATAAATTTTGGTATAGATATCCAGGACTTCCTGCTCCAAATCTTCTGTTTTTATTGAAAACTTCAGATGGTTAGATTTACTCAGCTCATGCTATTCTCTGCATCTCAAATCAGAGCACAGTGACCTCTGAAACACAGTCTTCCTTTGAGGATTGGCTTGAATAGCTGGAGCTTCACAGGCATCTTTCTTGCCCATTTTACTGGTGAATACAAAACACAGCCTCAGAATTAAGATATACCTGCAGTAAATCCTCAGCTTTAAATGTCAGTGCACAAAGTGTATGGGTAGGCATAGACCAGTCCTCATTCTAGGAGTCAGTTCTTGACCCTGTGAGAGATCCCTCTCCTATTTGGCATCAGCTCTTGAAATGCTCTCATGAGGCTGTACTTGTGTCTGCAGTGCCACAATGCAAATCTGGTAGTCCTCTTCTACTCAGAACTCTAGAGCAGAATCCTTCTGAAGAAGTCAAGCTTGGATCTGGAAGCAGCCAAAAGCACACACTACTGCTTTTTTCTGACTGCTAGGTTTCTCACTTTAAAAATATTCATGCATTTGGGATCATCACTTTTCAGCAATAAACAACAGTTTGAACTCTCTGCTATGAGTCTTTGGCTTGGCATTTCCTGCTTCAGTGCCAGTATCACCAAACAATCCTGAGAACCTTAAAAGCTAGAGGTCTCAGGCTTCAAACCAACCACCATGCCTGGGTTTGTTAGAGTAAATTTCAAATTTTCCCAAGACACACATCACATGCAAGTTAGATCAGTGCTCCTAAGATTTAGCCCTTGACTAAAATGTGAGAGATTCTGTGGGACTGCAGTTATAGATGGTTGCGAACCACCATGTAAATGCTGGGGATTGAACTAAGGACCTCTGTAAAAGCAGCCAGTACTCTTAACCACAGAACCATCTCTCCAGCCTGAGGCTGTTTCAAAAAGCTAAAGCCAAAATAAAAAAAAAAAATTGAGGAAAAAGAACAGAAAGAGTGCTGAGGAGCTGGGGGGGCTATGGTGCGGACCGTGATCCCAGCACTCAGAAGTGCAGGCTGGAGAATCGGGGTCACTCCTGGTCACACAGCAAGGTGGAAGCCTGGAATACATGAGACAGTCTCAAAATAAAAACGGAAGGCTCAGGGCCGAGGCTGCACTCCGGTGGGGCGCTTGCGTGCATGCAGGAGACTCTAGGTTCAGTTGCCAGGACACCAAGGGTGGTGTCCAACTGCTTGTCTATAGATGATCCAGTTCAAATTCATAGAAGATATAGGAAAACAAGGACCAGTCAAACACAGGAATGGCCCTCAGGATGCTGAGGCAGGAGAATCATAGGTGTTTATACACATAGATAGGAAGCTAAATGAAATCATTGGTTGGGTAAGGCAGTAAATTAGTGTGTTTCAAAGTTTTTTTGAGAAAGCAAGATATGTAAAAACTATTAACAGTTGAGAATTGAGGGCTTGATTTTGGCTAACATGTCTAATACAGTGGCTCTTTCTCCTGGCAGTCAACACTAAGAAGGACTCGGAGTCGGCCCCAGTCAAAGGAGGCACCATGACTGACCTGGGTAAGACCGGGAGCCTTAAGGAGGCAGTGCCGAGCAGAGAGAGCTCACCTTCCCCCAGCCTTCTGGCTTTCCAGGAGGCCCTTGCTCCTCTGGAGGCTCTGACCTTACATCTGGCCTTCTTTCTCTTTCAGATGAACAGGAGGACGAAAGCATGGAGACCACGGGCAAGGTGGAGCCAGTTTAGAGAGGCTCTACCTCTCTGTGTGATTGTGACTATACAGTTCCTTCTGCCTGGGCTTTTCCCACCATAGATTAATCTAGCTGCTGCTCAGAGCTGCAGCCCACTCAGAGCCCCAGGGCCCATGGGGCTCCTCCTCATCACCTCTTGTTAGTGTCCATGCTCCTGGGTGTAGGAGAGACTGAGGGATGCTAGGCGGGGCGTGGGAGTGCTGAGTGTCCAGCAGCCTCCGTACTCACAGGATGAGGATGAGAGCAGTACCGGCAACAAAGGGGAGCAGACCAAGAACCCAGACCTGCATGAGGACAACGTGACTGAGCAGACCCACCACATCATCATTCCCAGCTACGCCGCCTGGTTTGACTACAACAGGTACTGTGCCAACTTATCCCTCGGTTCCTCTTCCCTTGTGCCGTCCTGTTTCCTGCCTCAGCGAGGTTGGCGGTGTGCTTCCTTCCAGAGGAGTTTCCGGCTCCCCTCTACAGTTCAGGGCGCTTATGACCTCACTCCTTTAGGGCTTCTCTCCCGCCCCTAGTACCTTCTGAATCCGTTATAACTTCTCTTGCAGTGTCCACGCCATCGAACGGAGGGCTCTCCCTGAGTTCTTCAACGGCAAGAACAAGTCCAAGACTCCAGAGATGTAAGATTTCAGCTCATGACTCTCTTTGGTGTCCTTTCTGCATTCACCCCTCCAGATTAGCAACATCCAACCAGGCTCTGTTAGGCTTCCAGGGAGACATGAGAGATGCCACTAGGCAGCCACAGCCTAACCCTTTAAAGCCTGTTCTCTAGGTGTGCCTGAGGATGATAACGTAGAGCGTGCTCTGTATAAAACAAGTACCTGCCCCATGCTGCCACTGCTTCACATTTTAACAAATGCGGAGAATCTCAGTCCATGATTGTCGTGTTATCTGAAACGCACGTAACCCTAGTGTATGCAGCAACTTCAATTAAAGTGTAAATGACTATGACTAGGTTGAAATCCTGATAGAAAAACAAGATAAGGCCAACCCTGGCAGTTCACGTCTGCACGTGGAGGCTGAAGTAAGAGCTCAAATCGGAGGGACGAGAAGGAAAGTCCAGTTCTGAGAAATACCAGATGGAGTTCACATCTGGAAGAGTAGCATGTAGAGTCCAGGACTAGGGCTGGAGAATGTGGCTCTGAAGTGGAACTGGTGCCTAATGTGCACAGGAGCTCTGTCCCAGCACCACCGTGCAGGCAGAGGGCACAGGCAGGCAGAGCTCTGTCCCAGCACCACCGTGCAGGCAGAGGGCAGAGGCAGGCAGAGCTCTGTGAGTTTGAGTCTCATCTACATAGATCGAGGCCAGCCAGGGCTAGATAGTGAGACCTGATCTCAAAAACAAATAATAAAATCACAGGTTTAGGGCTACGAGTTGGTGTTTATTGAATCGGATAGTTGCTGTTTTCCATGTGTGTCTTGTAGGACACACTCTCTTCTAATAACCTCCCACCCCGACCCTCTGCAAACTTCTTACTCATCTCTCTGGCTTGGAAATGGACTGTGGTGAGGGGCGTTGAGTGAGCACATGACAGGGCGGACGAGGCTGAGAACTGGGGAAGTTTCCTCTGCACTTCCTGCTGCTGCTGCTGCTCAGCCTCCCCTCTGTGGGGTCATCTTCTCTCACCTGTTGCTTTCTCCATAGCTTGGTATGGGTCTCTTCCTTCCTGAAGAGGCCAGGGTTTGTCAGGAAGAAAACGGAGTTAGTGGCCAAATGACATGATTCCATGTGGTATGCTTTCAGGAGTACTCAATGAGAACTGCTGACATCTACTGAGCGTCTCACCCGCAGCACTGACTTAGTCTCCACCATGCACTGGCTAGTCTTACGAGGTTGATAGGCCTTTTTTTTTTTTTTTTTTTTTTAATATTAAGAGGGTTTTTTTTTTGCAGGGCGGGGGGGTTCGAGACAGAGTTTCTCTGTATAGCTTTGGTTGTCCTGGAACTCACTCTGTAGACCAGGCTAGTCTCAAACTCACAGAGATCCACCTGCCTCTGCCTCCCGAGTGCTGGGATTAAAGGCGTACACCACCACTGCCCTCCAAGATTTATTTTAATTTTTAAATTATTGTATGTGTGTGGGTATGTGCATGTGAGTGCAGCACCCACAGAGGCCAGAAAAGGGTGTTGGAACTGTTGGAGCTGGAGTTACAGGCCACTGTGAGTGGTCCAGCAAAAGCAGCTGCCATTTTATGAGCTACAATATGCCAGACATAGGTAGTTCCCCATGGACACCCTGTGTGACACCAAAGGAGTCTTAAGTTTCAGATAGCTTGACAACATTATCACGACAAGACTGGCATCTGACTTTAAATCTTTTAACTTCAAAATACAAATTACATCTGTAATCCCAGCATTTGAGCAGCTGAGGCAAGGTCACAAGTTGGAGGCCAGTCTGGGCTACAAAGCAAGTTCCAGACTAGCTTGAACTACAAAGTGAAATCTTGTTTCAAGAAAGAAAAAAAAAAAAGCCAGACATGGTGGCGCATGTCTTTAATCCAGCACTCTGGAGGCAGAGGCAGGTGGATCTCTGTGAGTTCAAGGCCAGCTTCCAGCCTGGTCTACAGAATGAGTTCCAGGACAGCCAGTGCTATATAGAGAGACTCTGCCTCAAACAAACAAACAAAAAAAGAGGGGTGTGTGTGGAGATAATCTGTGGTTATGAGTGTGAACTGTTCTTGCAGAGGACCTGAGTTTGGTTCCTAGCTTCCATATCAAGTGGCTTTCAACTACCTATAACTCAGCTCCAGGAGTATCTGCATGCAAGTGCACATACCCCCACACATAATAAAATAAGTCTAGATATTTTTTAATTTGTTGATGTGTACCAGTGCTTCTCCTACATGTATGAGCATGCACCGTGTATGTGCAGGTGCCTTTGGAGGTCAGAAGAGGGTGTCAGATCCCCTAGGACTAGGGTTCGGGTGGTTGTGAGCCACGCTGTGGATGCTGGGGACTGAACCAGGGTCTTCTACAAGAAGAAGTGCTCTTAACCACTGGACCATGTCTCCAGCCCCCAAAATATAATAAATCTTTTTTTAAAGCAAAAACAAACGAAGGGTCTGTGAGATGGCTCAGTGGGTAAGGGAGCTTGCCACCAAGCCTGGTGGGCTGCGTTTGATCCCCAGAACCCACGTGGTGGAGGGAGAGAATGGACTCCCATAGGTTGTCCTCTGACCTCCATACACATGCCTTGAAGCATGCATGCGCGCGCACGCGCACACAATTGATTAATTAAAAAAGAAAAAAAGGCAGAGAAAGTGAGTAGATGGTTTGAGGGGTAGAAGCCCTGATGCCGGACCCGACAACCCAGGGTCCACACGGTGCTCATGCACACCTACACAGAATTAGTAAATAAAAGTATATGAGAAAGTAAGAGTTTAAAAGGAAAAAAGAGAGGGGGATGGGAGAGATCACAGCGTGGCTCAGCAGTCTACATCTCTCCTGAGTTTGATCCCTGGCGAGGAGAGAATCAGCTCATGGAAGTCGTCGTCCAGCCTCCACATGTGTGCTGTAGACTGCCTACATGTGAAGAATAGTGTAAATAAATTGATAAACTATCATACGTAAAAACTAACTTTAAAAAATGGAGTGTTACATATTTGTAATCTTAGCACTTGGGAGGCAGAGGCAGGAGGATTGGCAGTTCAAGGCTGTCCTTGGCTATCTAGCTAGCTTGGGCTATGTGAGACCTTGACCCTAAATAAGTAAATAAATAAAAATCAAGAATTAAAAGCCAGGATGGTGGTATATAATCTCAGCGTTTGGGATGTGGAGTTGTGATGCAGATCTAGCTGAAGGCCAGCCTATACCTACACAAGACTGTCTCAAAAATGATAAATTAAAAAAAAAAAATCATCAAGCCGGGCGGTGGTGGCTCATGCCTTTAATCCCAGCACTCCGGAAGCAGAGGCAGGCGGATCTCTGAGTTCGAGGCCAGCCTGGTCTACAGAGTGAGTTCCAGGACAGCCAGGGCTACACAGAGAAACCCTGTCTCGAAAAACCGAAAGAAAAAAAATTTAAAAAAAAGCAATCTTGAAGGTTCTTCTCCAGCATGAGGCCGATTGGCTAGTTGCATGGGTAAGGACTTTGACTTAGTGTCTTGGGAAACAGGCATTTTTTCTTACCTTTAAATTATTATTTCAAAAGTTGGGTAAATTGAGCATGATGGTCCATCCTGTAACCTCAGCACTTGGGAGGGTAGGAATCCCAGGTAAAAGTAAGGTGCCAATTCATTTAATTAAAAAAGGCATCAAGCAGAATGCAAGAAACATTTGTATTTTAGATTTATGATTTTATGTCTGAGTGTTTAGCTTGTGTGTGTGTGTGTGTGTGTGTGTGTGTGTACCACGTGTGCCTGGTGCTCATGGAGTTCAGAAGGGGGCATCAGATTCCCTGGAACTGGAGTTATGGATGATTATGAGCCACCATGAGGGCGCTGAGAACTGAACCTGGGTCTTCTGCCTGGTCGGCCCCCAGCAGGAAACATTAGACCACTACACAGTTAGAATGCTGGGTGCTCAGTTGAGTTAAATGACCTTCTCTGTCTTTGTCACCCAGGAGGGTCACTGCCACTTTCCCCATTTTTCTTCTCCTTCGGCCTCAACAAACATTAATTTTCTTCCTCTTACTCGTCTTTCTGACTCTTCTAAGCTACCTGGCATATCGAAACTTCATGATTGACACTTACCGACTGAATCCCCAGGAGTATCTGACATCCACTGCCTGTCGGCGGAACTTGGCAGGTGATGTCTGCGCTATCATGAGGTGGGTCTTGCTTCTGAGGAGAGTGGGTTTGAGAGGACGTCTGTCTGTGTGTCCTGGCAGAGCTGCAGATACTTGCGGGAAAATAGGGAACAAGGAGAACACACCTAGGGAAAGGCCCTGCATGGCAGGTTTGAGGAGTGAGTGACTTAGGGGTTGGAAATGTGATGTGAAGGAGGACAGAGGGCTGTGTCCTTAGCGGAAAGACAGTTGGACGGCTTTGCTAGCTGTCTAGGAAGAGATGGTCACTAGGATGTGGTCATGGAGAGGATCCTGGGCTGAGGGTGTGTACCTGGGTGTCTCCAGGTGATGAGTGGGTGATGGGAGGAACCTTCCTCCTTTCTGGCTTTCCCATATGGCCCAGCCTTGCTTTCTCTCACAGGGTCCATGCCTTCCTGGAACAGTGGGGTCTTATTAACTACCAGGTAGATGCTGAGAGCCGACCAACCCCAATGGGGCCTCCACCCACTTCTCACTTCCATGTCTTGGCGGACACACCATCGGGGCTGGTTCCTCTTCAACCCAAGACCCCACAGGTAGGGTGAGGGGCACTGGGGACAAGGCTGGGTGGGTAAGATGGGGCTTCTTTGGACTTCTCTTTTTCTGTTTACTTTTTTATTTTGATATTTTTTAGAGTAATGATTCAGGAGTGTTGTAGGGTTTCTTCCTTTACCATGAGTTGGAAGGGGCCACAGGAATCAGCCCATGTGTTTAGTACCCTCTTTTAGCTCTGATAGCTAAGCTGTAAGCACTAGCTGAGGGAGAGAAGTTGCTCCTCAGCCCAGGAACAGACAGGCTGATGTAGGAGGTGGAGCAGATAGAGAAATTGCTTGCAATAACGTGTGTGAAATTTTTATACTTTGTCATCTTGCCCATATTTTTTTCATTTTTGCCTCATAATTATTATCACCTTCATTTTTTTCCATTTCCATTTCATACATTATTTTAAAAGAGAAGAAAACATTATGTGGCTTACACAAAGACACAGACTGAATCTAGGATTCAGTCCAGCTACTGTCCAGCTCCTTAGAGAGTCTGTAAAGATACATGTGACTACAGATGTCTATCATGCCAACTACATGTCTAATTAATCATGGAGGCAGCATGGGACGGTGGCATGAGTGTCCCCAGAGCTTGTGGGCCGCCCAGCATTTGATCTTTAGGCCTCCAAGGCCTTGGCCTGGCCATTTCCTGCCCAGCCTCCATGACGCCAAGCTCTGTCCCCCAGGGCCGCCAGGTTGATGCTGATACCAAGGCTGGGCGGAAGGGCAAAGAGCTGGATGACCTGGTGCCAGAGACGGCTAAGGGCAAGCCAGAGCTGGTAGGTGGGGTGCAGACCCCGCTGGGCTGTTTATTTGCCCCTTCACTGGGGGGCCCCTGCCTGGGAAGAAGAGACAAGAGAGCAGAGGAACCACAGCAGTAAGGGAGGAAGTCCCGCCCAGGGATTCCCTGGCTTCGGGAAGGAAGCTTCTCTCTCTCTCTCTCTCTCTCTCTCTCTCTCTCTCTCTCTCGCTCTCTCGCTCTCTCGCTCTCTCGCTCTCTCGCTCTCTCTCTCTCTCTCTCTCTCTCTCTCTCTCTCTCTCTCTCTCTCTCTCGCTCTGCCTCTGGCCCCTGTGGCTACTTACGTTCACCTCTTTTTCCCTTCCGCAAATAGCAGAGCTCTGCTTCCCAGCAAATGCTCAACTTTCCTGACAAAGGCAAAGAGAAACCAACGGACATGCAGAACTTTGGACTGCGCACAGACATGTACACAAAGAAGAATGTTCCCTCCAAGGTATGAGGTGCGGCCAGCCCGGGCTGAGAACCTGCAGTCCACACGGCTTAGATGCCTCTGTCCTGACGTCCCCGTCTCTCTGCAGAGCAAAGCTGCGGCCAGCGCCACCCGGGAGTGGACCGAGCAGGAGACGCTGCTGCTCCTGGAGGTGACTGGGGCAAAGCCAGGGGAGCTCTGCTGTGAGGGAGGAGTGGCTGGGGTGCAGCTGCCCTGTGAGTGGGGGACACACGTGCAGTCTGGTGTGAGTGGAGCATGATCTTGCTCTTCTTTCTGGTGCCTGTCACACCTGTCCCAGGAACAGCTCCAGGTCAAGGATTTGGGCCTTTTCGTAATCCCATATCCTTCTTAGTGCCACTTGGAGATCCCCTTGGATCCAGCAGAGTACAGACATACCAGAACACAAAGCTTTGAAACCAGATGCCCTTGGTAGGATGGGGAGTTGACCTTCGAGGAAAGTGGCCAAGTAAGCAGAGTTGTGTCTCCACCACCACCACCAGGCTCTGGAAATGTACAAGGATGACTGGAACAAAGTGTCTGAACATGTGGGAAGCCGCACGCAGGATGAGTGCATCTTGCACTTTCTTCGCCTTCCCATTGAAGACCCGTACCTGGAGGACTCAGAGGCCTCCCTGGGCCCTCTGGCCTACCAGCCCATCCCCTTCAGTCAGTCAGGCAACCCTGTCATGAGCACTGTTGCCTTCCTGGCCTCTGTCGTCGACCCCCGAGTGGCCTCCGCTGCTGCCAAGTCAGCCCTAGGTAATTTGGGGGAGAGGGTCGGCCTTCTTAGATTGCTTTTGCAGGGGTAGATGCTCACAGTTGAAACCTCCTCAAGTCTGGCTCCCTGCTGGCCCGTCTGTTGCCGCCCTAGGTCAGGCACCTGTCTAAACTCCATGTTGGTCCTGGAGGAAGACGGGCCTGTAGGAAAGCTTTCACAGGGATAACCAGGACTGTCCACCTGCTACATCCCAGCCTCTTCCCCCTGGGTCTTACAGAAGAGTTTTCCAAAATGAAGGAAGAGGTGCCCACAGCCTTGGTGGAAGCCCACGTGCGGAAAGTGGAAGAAGCCGCCAAGGTCACAGGCAAGGCAGACCCTGCCTTTGGTCTCGAAAGCAGCGGCATTGCAGGGACCACCTCTGACGAGCCCGAGCGCATTGGTGAGCACAGGCTTCTAGAGCTCTTCCCGTTCGCCGAGAGCCAGGGCCCCTGGCCTCCCGGTGCCGGTGCCATCCCACCCTCCTCTTGCCCCATCACAGCACAAGTGGGAGAGGAAATCTGTGGGGTTTTATTTTCCTTCATGGTGTCTCTATAGGGAATTGGGCTCCTACTGGTCCTGTCCCTGAGGTTTTTGGCTACTGGGAAATTGTCACATAGACAGGACTTATCAGACATCTCTCCTTTCTTTCCTTTCCCCATGGGTCCAGAGGAAAGCGGGACTGACGAGGCACGGGCAGAGGGCCAGGCAGCAGATGAGAAGAAGGAGCCTAAGGTACAGAGGGAGTGACTGGGTCTGGAAGAGGCTGCTTAGTACAGCCTGTGGAGATAAGGAATCCAGTGGAAGGGCAGTCTCCTGAAGTGAGGGGTCACATGGGGCTGAGGAGATGGTTCCGTGGGTGAGAGTGCTCATTCTGCAAATCTGAATTAGAATCCCTAGCACCCATGTTAAAAGTTTTGCATTGTTCTATGTGCCTGTCACCCCTCTGTGGGACCCCATTGGAGGGGGGACCTGTCTTAAGGTAATAAGATACCCAGTGTCCTGCTCTGGCCTTGGCATGTACACACGTAGGCTTACACACCCATCGACGGGCACGCACCACATACTACACATGCACACACAAAGAAGGAGGTCGAGTCAGTCTCCAGCCCGGGCCCCTGTGAGAACTGCATCCCCTAATGTCTCCCTTTCTTCTGGAAACTGCAGGAAGCACGAGAAGGAGCAGGAGCTGCCGAGGAGGAAGCGAAGGAGGAAGCCAGTGAGGCTCCCAGGAAGGATGAAGAGAAAGGGAAGGAAGGGGACAGCGAGAAGGAGTCCGAGAAGAGTGACGGGGACCCGATAGGTGAGCCGTCCAGAGTGGCGGTGCACACGGGGCAAATGTGCAGTTACAGGCTAACCCAGCCTTGTCCCGGAACAGGTGATCCTGAGAAAGAGAAGGAGCCGAAAGAAGGGCAGGAGGAGGTGCTGAAGGAAGTGGGCGGCGAGTCCGAGGGCGAGAGGAAGACGAAGGTGGAGCGAGACATTGGTGAAGGCAACCTCTCCACCGCTGCTGCCGCCGCCCTGGCCGCTGCCGCAGTCAAGGCCAAGGTAAGGGCGGCCCTCAGGGCAGAGGCTGCCCACCTCTCTGACGCCCTTCCTGCCTCACTCCCGAAGTGTTGGCTGTTCCTTCCTACCTTATCCCGACTGAGTTAGTCATCTCAGTCTCTTATCACTGGCTCTTTCCAGCCCTTGGATTTCTTTGACTTGTCTTATCTCTTGCTATTCTTTTTCTACATGCTTTTTATTAAAAAAAAAAAAATGAGTTATTCTGTTCTGAGTTGTGATCCCAGCTCTTCCTCCTTAAGGCTGCCAGCCCCCGCCCTTCCCTCTCCCCGGAATGTCTGCAGCTGACCCTCTGGCTGACCCTGTCACACTCCTTGCCTAGCATTTGGCTGCTGTTGAGGAGAGGAAGATCAAGTCTTTGGTGGCCCTGTTGGTGGAGACCCAGATGAAGAAACTAGAGATCAAACTCCGCCATTTTGAGGAGCTGGAAACGATAATGGATCGGGAGCGAGAAGCAGTGAGTAGTGTCCAATCAGGGGCCAGCAGAAGCCTGGGCTTGGGGGTCCTGAGGCTGACAGGACATCACAGGCGAGGGGAGAAGGGTGGGGAGCCTCTCAGCTGAGACCCACAGGCCACAGGCGGGCCGTTGATGAGGCCTTTGACCTCTGCAGCAAAGCTTGCCTCTTACTAGAGTCTCATAAAGCTGAGTGACTGGATGGATTTAAGAGATGATAAGAGACTAGGGAAGTCAATTTGGGAAATAGATAGGACAGACAAGTATGGATTCAGTTTCCTTGACGGCTTAAAAAGAAATAGAAGATGAGGACTCTGCTCTCAGAAACATCAAATATTCAATAGGAGATATTAAAAAAAAAGATATCAGAAACAGTTAACAATGCTTAAACTACCCAGAAAATTCATATTAAGAGATTTTTCTAGGGGATAGAGTGGTGTAGCAGTTGGGAACAGACTATTCTTCCAAAAGGCCCTAAGGGGCCTTTCATGGACACCACACTCACATGCATATACCCCACACACAGACACGTGTACATGCATATCATTAAAAATAACTTTAAGGGTTGGGGATTTAGCTCAGTAGGCCCTGGGTTCGGTCCTCAGCTCCAGAAAAAAAAAAAAAAAAAAAAAAAAAACTTTAAAATTTTTCAGCTGGTGTGGTGGCACACACCTTTAGTCCTAGCAGTAGGGGGGCAGGCGGATCTCTGTGAGGTCGAGGCCAGCCTGGTCTACAGAGTGAGTTCCAGGACAGGTTCCAAAGCTACACAGAGAAACCCTGTTTTGGGAAATAAATAAACAAACAAACAAATAAATAAAAATAAGTGCTGAGAGATTCAGAATAAAATCAAAATTCAGAGGCCAGTCAGTCCATCTGGGATGGCTGCCTAAGAACAGTTTTTAGCTGATTTTGAAGGAAAAGAACTTGAGTTGGTAGGAACCGGAAGCATTTTCAGATCAGAGTAATAAATTCAGAGTTTGGGATTGAAATGAGCCAGAACCACACCAGACGCACTCCAGTGCAGCGAGGAACCATACGGATAGTGGGAGCCGTGGCGGTCTTAGAATCTGGAAAGAGTGAGGTGCTTGAGAGATCAGTTATTTTCAAAAGAAAAAGTGGGGGGCAAGGCACTTGCCCAGGGATCTTCTGGAGCCTGGTAACAATATTCCATCGGCATCGGCAGCTGGAGTATCAGAGGCAGCAGCTCCTGGCCGACCGGCAGGCCTTCCACATGGAGCAGCTGAAGTACGCGGAGATGAGGGCCAGGCAGCAGCACTTCCAGCAGATGCACCAGCAGCAGCAGCAGCAGCAGCAGCCGCCAACCCTGCCCCCAGGCTCCCAGCCCATACCCCCAGCCGGGGCTGCTGGGCCACCCACAGCCCATGGTCTAGCTGTGGCTCCAGCAGCTGTGGCCCCTGCTCCTGCTGGCGGTGGGGCCCCTCCTGGAAGCTTGGGCCCTTCTGAACAGATCGGGCAAGCAGGGTCAACTGCAGGGCCACAGCAGCCACAAGCAGCTGGAGCCCCCCAGCCTGGGGCAGTCCCACCAGGGGTACCCCCCCCTGGACCCCATGGTGAGTATGGGTTCTGAGTGTTGTTGGCTGTAGGGAGCCTGCAGATGTTCTGGTTCCTGTGAAGGGAATACCTGATGGGCCTGGAGATAAAGAGTTGGTTGTAGTTTCTACACATGGGCTCCATTATATTATGTCCCCAAACTATCAGGGATATCTGGAGTTTTATTCCAAGAATTTACCACGGGTTCCAGTGTCAGGAAGGGGCGGGGGTTGTCACCAGCTAGTGGCTAGTGAAGCTTGAGCTGGTGTATAAGATTTTACTCTCCCCAACTCTTCGTTCTCTTTATTTCTAGGCCCCTCACCGTTCCCCAACCAACAAACTCCTCCCTCAATGATGCCAGGGGCAGTGCCAGGCAGCGGGCACCCAGGCGTGGCGGGTAATGCTCCTTTGGGTTTGCCTTTTGGCATGCCGCCTCCTCCTCCTCCTGCTGCTCCATCCATCATCCCATTTGGTAGTCTAGCTGACTCCATTAGTATTAACCTTCCCCCTCCTCCTAACCTGCATGGGCATCACCACCATCTCCCGTTTGCCCCGGGCACTATCCCCCCACCTAACCTGCCTGTGTCCATGGCGAACCCTCTACATCCTAACCTGCCGGCGACCACCACCATGCCATCTTCCTTGCCTCTCGGGCCGGGGCTCGGATCCGCCGCAGCCCAGAGCCCTGCCATTGTGGCGGCTGTTCAGGGCAACCTCCTGCCCAGTGCCAGCCCACTGCCAGGTGAGAAGGGGCCAGAAGGGGAAAGGGTGAGGGAGAGGGTTCCACACGGTGGGAGGGAGGGCGAGAGGGGAAAGGGTTAGACGCTAGAACTCCACGACCGTTTTCAGCACTCCGGTAAAACTAGACCCAGGAGGAAGGGCCTCTCTGGCCGTCCTCCATTTCCCCATTTGGCAGCTGCCACCTCTGGGATGACGTTGGGGCCTTTCACTGGTGGGTCCTGGAGGAGTCCAGTGGCACAGAGGACCTCAGTTGTGAACCTGGAAACTAGCTACCCATTTGCATGACGATGGCATCCCTTTGCTTGTTCCCACCACATTCAGATGCCCCATTTAGAGTCCTTGGGGGCAGGAGGATGGTTTGGGGTGTGAGGAGATTTTCCCAGTGTCAGGTGGAAAAGGGTATTGGGGAAAAAGAAGTTAAACAGAGTGGGTACCTCATTCATCTACCCACCCACTGCATGCCATGCCCAGTTCTGTTTGTGTGTGGAGCCTGGGGCTGGATCCATCTCTCTGCTTGCTGCAGCTCATTTATTTACCTTCCTTTTCTCCACAGACCCAGGCACCCCCCTGCCTCCAGACCCCACAGCTCCGAGCCCAGGCACAGTCACCCCTGTGCCACCTCCACAGTGAGGAACCAGCCAGCCATCTCTCCCCCTCACTCCCCATGGAGATCACAGTTCCAGGAACAGCCCTCCCCCACTACTGGGACCCTCCCTCAGCCTGGAGAGTTCATCACTACGTAAGGAAAGCTCCTCCTGCCCCTTCACCGTCCCCACCATGCCCAGCAGAGGTGTGCAGTTTTATATCCAGTTCTTAACCATGGACTTCTGACTAAAAGATGTTTCTGATGCCTGGGAGAGAGAATAGGATGGAGACGGTGCCTCAAAGGAAGGGGTAGGGAAAGATGTTTATAGAGGTTCTACTAACCACTTCCGAGGGTTTTTACCCCCTTCAGACTCACTGCAGTTTTGAAGTGGATAACACGGAAACAGAGCCCTTTAAAAGGGAGGTTTTAAAAAGACGACACATTGGAGCCCACAAAAGATAACTTGGAGGGGAAAGGGCAGGTTTTAAGAGGAGTTAGGGTTTGAGGGTGAGCTGTGGGGATGGAATAGGGTACCAAGCCTGTCTCCCTGAGCCCCTTGGTAGTACTGAGTCAGCTCCCTCACCGGTTCCAGTTTATTCACGCTAATCCCTCCTGCCGCTTGTCATTGCTGCTGTTCCAGGCCAGCCCAGCTCAGCCAATGACCTTCCCTCTGGATGTCAGCATTGTGTTTGTTTTTAAAAGTCACCTGCTTAGTTGATGTCAGCGTATGTGTATTTGGTGGGGAAGCATATTTTGGGGGGATTCCGTGGTAGGTGTTAGAGGAAGAAAGGGCCACAGTTGGGGCTGTTCTTCCTGCTTTCCCTGGTCGTATCTGTGAGTGCTTAGAAGGCATGGAACAGGGAGCTCCAAGAGGATGGGGAGTTTGTAAACCCTGACAATTTGAAAAGCACTTAAGACCTACTTTTGACAGTGGGACACCGCTAACTTCTGCCCTCTCCACCAAGCCTGACAGGCCCTCACTGATAGCTAGGAATTCCCTCCCCAAATGAGGACAAAGACTGGGCGCAGCGCAGCATGGCTCTGCTCCCCACTGCCCCCCGCAGGACTCCAGGCTCCACACCTGCTTGGTCCTCCTGCCCAGTGTTTCTTTCCTCTGCATCTTGGCACCTTCCTTCTGTTCAAAGTTTTCTGTAAAAGTTTCTTTTCTTTGTTCTTTTCTTTCTTTCCTTTCCTTTCCTTTTTTTTTTCTTTTTTTATAAATTAATTTGCTTTCAGTTCCACCTTGTGGATGCCTCTGTGTTCTCTTACCTGTGGCTGCTAGGCAGGGGGCAGACTGGGCTGGGGCAGCCTTCCTGGAGTCCCTTCCTGGATAAATGTGGACATTTGTCACAGGCCCACAGGTGTCAGTCTCTTGCCACAAGAACCCGAAGGCAACCCAGCAATTAGGACTCACTGCAGCCTCAAAAAGCACCTCTCGCCTACTCTGAAAATAGCTCTTGGAAGCACATCCCTACTGCATGGATCTACACCCTTCTAGACAATTTTTTACATTCCTTCCCTTATTAGGGGGAGGCAGGCACTCACCTACTCCTGTTGTTATTGGCCCCCAGCCCTGCAGATGTACAAGAGGCTGGGCAGGACTAATATGTCCTGGCATTTTAGTTCCAGTAAACACTGACAAGCTTTCCTACAAAGTGTTCAGGACTGGGAGGGTGGGGGCCCGTTTCAGAGAAGCCCTAAGGCCAAGAAATTTAACTTGACACAGAATAGAACAAAAGGATACCCCCCCACACACAAATATACAGCTAGCTTTGATCCTCTAGGGATTTGACTTTCTTCATTCCCCAAAGGGGAGCCTTTCGTTAATGAGGCCGTGGTCATTACTTCAGGCCCTGTTCCAGTTTCCCTAACCCCACCCTCAACTTTGAGCTTTGTCTCAGGACAGATACAGAACCTCCTCACCTTTTCCTCCCTCACCCTGCTCAGGAAAGGAAACAACCAAACTAGGGCAAAGAGAGAAAATTTTATTTTGTGAAGGCAAACATCCAGAAGAGACCAGATGGGCAAGGTGCTGTGATAATGGAGCCCAGGAGGGGGCCACAGAGAAATCTCACACTGGGCAAGGCACAGGCTCGGGATCTGGAAATATCCTCAGCCATTCAGCACCATCCGGACAAGCTCTGTGGAGAGGAGAGGTGGAGTAAGCCAAGGAAAGGGCTGGGGAGGGGTGCACTACGGGCCAGAGACTACAAGACCATGAAGGCGGCGTGAGGAACATGCCCACAGCAACCGACCTTGGGGTCACTTTGCAAAAGGGCCACCTTGAGTGACCAGTTCTCTGTCCCTGGCTCCCCCCCCAGCAGCTGTCAGCCCCCCACCCCACGCTGAGTAGCAAGAACACAGCAGAGGCAGCAAAGTTCTCAACTACTCCTACAGCTACTGTAAGCACTGGCAGGAGGAGAGGACAGCTCTGGGTTAGGGGACCCCAAGCTGTCCAGCAGAGGGATGGAGAAAGAACTCTGTTACAGCAGCAGAATGGGGCAAGCAGCCCATCCCCCTTTGCCAACTCTCCATGCCCCAGGGCCAAAGATCCACCTTAAGGCAAGCCTTGTCTACAAGCTGGTGAGGTTTCTAGACACCAGCACCAAGACCCTGTAAGTCAAACCTCAGGCCGGAGAGAAGGAAGGAGCACCACACCCCCAAGCTGCCTCCCTCACTGAGGAGCCCCGCCCCTCCCGAGCCAGCTCCATGCAGGATCATGCCGGGAGGAAGTCAGCTGGTAGTGGGCTATGGGCAGGGGCTGGAGAGGAGAGCACAGGTTGGGAAGAAAAGGGAACACCAGGGAGATTCTAGAGAGGCTGGGAGGAGCCGTACCCGCCCCACGGGCCCGTCACCCCGACAGGATATGCCTCACAAATGCTGCAGGAAGGAAGAGACATTAATGGTGAAGACAAGACACAGACATGGGGTGGCGGGGTCAGGCAGTGGGGGACAGACATTCTGTTTACTTCCCATTCCTGACCCACCCGTGACACTCCATCACCCCTTCCGTTACTGTTAACCCCGACAGCCCCCTCCCAGGCTGGACTGGGCCTTGCCCCTGACTCCTGGCTCCCTTTTGGAGCCAAGTCTAGGCATAAAACACTTCAGGTGCTGTCCTTAACGTGCCCTGAAAGACCGTTTCCTCCTCAAAGACTCCAGTTCACGATCCATCCCTTACCTTCGTAGTTGATACAGCCGTTGCTGTCCTCATGCCCCGCCACCAGCATCTCTACTTCCTCCTCCGTCATCTTCTCTCCTGAGAGGAAAGAAAGTTTGTACAACTGGGTGACGGGTGAGGTATATCAGGGTGGCAGCTCAGCTCCAGAACAAGGTCACAGAGCCTTACCCAGTGTGACAAGGACGTGACGGATTTCAGCACCCATGACGGTGCCGTTCCCTTCCTTGTCAAACACACGAAGGCCTTCAACATAATCCTCATAGGTTCCCTGGTCCTTGTTCTTGGCCACAGTCTGCAGCATGGGCAGGAAGTGCTCGAAGTCCAGCACCTTCACATTCATCTCTGCCGGGCAGGAGGTAAAGTGTCAGGTGTGAGAAAGCACACGTTGGAACACAAGTGAACTGAGGACTCTGGCCGAGAGGGGAAGTCTATGGCACTGGCTATTTGGGGCCCTACGAAGATAAACCTGCTGGCATGCTAAGTTCTTAAGCAGCTTACCATCACTCTTGGGGTTCCCCAGGACCTTGAGCACCTCGGCGTTGGTAGGGTTCTGGCCCAAGGCCCTCATCACGTCCCCACATTGGCTGTACAGGATTTTGCCATCACCTGTTCGGTCAAACAGCTGGAACGCCTCCTTGAATTCTAAGGATTCAGATGGACAACAGCACTGGGGGTAAGCCAGTCCTTACTGCAGACCTCTGCTGCCAGTTCAACTTTAATCATGCTGGAGAAACGAGATACCTCGTCCTGTACACCCAAGACTGCTCATAGGGATCTATTTCTACCAGCTCAAATGTCCCACATAAAGACACACAGCCTCTTCTCCCCCTTAGCACAAGGTGGTAGCCATCTGTTTATTTACACACCCCCTGAGCCTGCAGCAGGCTAGGCTCTTCACTACTACACTACTCGGTAGGAATCTGCCACCGCCCAGCTAGGTCCTGTCCATATAAGGAAGTAGGAGCCGTGGCTAGGGACTCCAGGGTCATTCTAGCCTCCCACTTCCCACCCTTCCCCTTACGGAGATCTTATCTTCTGGGAATGGGGAGCTAAATCACATCCTTAGCAGACTTCCCAGTCCCCATCTTCACAAAATATCAAGTCACCGCTCTTTACACAATCCAAGCTTAAGGAGGGGACAGTTATCACAGGAGAGGCAAAAGTGGCAGATTAGAAGATGCAGAACACAGGCGTAAATAGACCCGACACACAACAGGCATTTATCAAACAAGTTGTTTCACATGCCCACACCACCTAAAACTCACCCAGCGCTTGGGGCTCAGATCTAGAGTGGAAGGGGAAGGAAGGAAGAATGAGAAAAGAAAATGGAGGATCCAGAGAGGAGGAGAAGGAAATCCATGGGGCACTGCCGGGAGTGCTCAAGAGATGACAGGCTGGGATCAGAGAACAGAAACTGGAGGAGGGTGTCCCTCACGGGAAGGGGGACCTCAGGTGGGGGTCAGAGACTGCCTACCTGCGGTCTGGTCCTCGGTGAAGTCACACTGCTCGGAGAAGAAGGGATTGGTCAGCACCCGGAGTCCAACCCCGCGAGCTTCTATCCCGGCCTCACAAGCCAAACCACAGCTCCCGTTCCAAGCCGAGGACTCGCTTCCCCAGGCAGAGCCCTCGCCCTTCCAATCCCCACCTCCAACCTTCCAGGGCCCGGGCTGGCCCTCGCCCACATCCGCTGGCTTCTCTCCCCCGACCGCGGCTCCCTCCGTGCCCCCAGCCCCCCGACCCCCCGATACCCGGGCGCACGCACCATCTCGGCTGCTCGGCTCTGCAGGACCTTTTCCGGCAGTAATGGCTCCGACGCCGGACCCAGCCCCAGCCTTAGTACGGCCCGCGGCGGGTGACGTCACCTGCAGTCTCCTCCAATGGGGATGCCGGCCTGGGCTCATGCAGATGACGTCACTACATTAGTAACCCGGGGAGAGGCCCCGCCCTCTGCCCCGGGCCCGGGCTGTGACTTTATGGAAGGCGCTCTCTTCCGAACTGCGCGAAGAGCAGGCGTTTGGGCTTCGGCAGGAGACGGGGCTACCCACGTCCCTCCTCCCGCGTCCGCAGAAGAAAACAGTCGGAGACCAAAGCAGGAACCACGTCTTTATTTCAAAACTCTAAGTGCCGCCTAGTGGCAGGAACGCGCTCCGAGCCGCGCGGGAGGTGGGTAAGTATCGGACCTATGCATCTGTGTGTCGGGGGTAAGAAGCTGTCCAGACGGACGCACGGACGGCCTGCTCTTCTGTCGGGTGGGCCGAGGAGCTGGAGGACTCTGGAGCTCAGAGGCTCAGGATGTGCTTCAGGAAGGCTGCACGAGACGGGGTGAGGACTTGAGAAGCTGGCCCGAGGGTGACCCACCGAACTTCCGGTAATTGAGGGCGCCCCCACCCACACCCAGGACTCGGCATGCCCTGGTCTGCTCCTGCCCCCTCACCCTCATAGTTGATGCAGCCGTTGCTGTCCTCGTGGCCAGCCAGGACAGTCTCCACTTCTTCCTCGGTCATCTTCTCTCCTGGACCCCAAGCACAGTTAGAGCTCCCGCCGCCCCAGCCGAGCCACTCCTCCCACCCTGCTCTTTTCTTTCCTTGTGGCCCACATCCGCGGTGCCTTGGAACTGGGGAAAGCCGACAGACAGGAAACCAGCGGCAGGGGGTGACGTGCATGGACCCGCACGAGTCCGGCTCGCCGCGGGGAACATGAGGCTCACACCTCACTCCCTCTGCTCTGCCCGGTGCTGGACACTTTAGCCTCTGGATGAGCGAGTCCCTCAGATTCTGCCTCCACAGCTCTTCCCAGTGCCCTCCCATGACTGCAGGACTCTAAGCCCATTCCAGGCTTTACCTGGCTCCTCCTGGCCCACCCCCTTCTCCATCCCACAGTTCTGGTCCCGGCCTCACCCAGAGTGGTAAGAACATGTCTGAGCTCTGCCCCCATGACTTTGCCGTTGCCCTCTTTGTCAAAAACACGAAGCCCCTCCAGGTAGTCCTCATATGTGCCTTGGTCCCGGTTCTTGGCCACTGCTTGGAGCATGGGCAGGAACGTCTCGAAGTCCACACGTCGGGACTTCAGCTCTGGAAATTAGAGATTAGAGGTGAGAGAGAGGTCATTATTGAGGTGTAGGATCTAGCAGCATCCATCCCTCCCATAGTGACTTTCATCCCCTTCAGCATTCAGGATGTTTTCCTGCTGTGTTGAACAGCTTTTGAAGTCCTGAGATCCAGCCCAGCATCCTTGGTCACCTTACCAATGTTCTGTCATGGGAAACCGATACTGTTGGGAGGCAGAGTGACCAGGCAAATTCAAGGCTAGCCAGAACAATTTAGTGAGACTTTATCTGGACAGAAAAATAAAAAAGGAAGCACTGGGGATGTAGTGGAGTGGTAGGACACACTCAAGATAGAAAGCGAAAACTGCTAATCCATGTGTGGTGGCTCACACCTTCAGTTCCAGCACTCCGAGGCAGACGAAGGCAGATCTCTGTGAATTTGAGGCCAGCCTCGTCTGTGTAATGAGTCCTAGGACAGCCAGGGCTGTTAGTGCTGCTGGGATAGAGCTGCAGGTTCAAGGGCAGCTGATGCCAGAGTGATGTCAAGGCCACCCTGAGTAACTCAGTGAGAACCTGTCTCAGTAAAAGAGTAGGGTATAGCTCAGTAGTAAAGGGCTTGCCTACCATGTACAAGGCACTGGGTTCAACTCCAGCACCTCACATACTGTAGTGATCCCAGCACTCTGGTAGGCAGAAGTAGAGAGGAGGTGGAAGATCAGAATTTAAAGTTATTCTTGGCTAGGATACTGAGACCCTGTCTTGGGGGGCGGGGGGAAGAAAGTCAGAAATGGAGGTCAGTTGTGCTCACTTCGGCAGCACATATACTAAAATCGGAACGATCCTGAGATTAGCCTGGGCCCCAGCACAGGGATGACACATATTTAAAAAGAAAGGGAGCTCAGTGTCCCAGGGCAGAACCCTGTATTCAGCCTCCAACACCAAGAAAAAGAAAACCGAAAGCCCACATATTCCAAGGTTCCTCTCACCATCACTCTTGGGGTTCCCCAGGACCTTGAGCACCTCGGCGTTGGTAGGGTTCTGGCCCAGGGCTCTCATCAGGTCCCCACACTGGCTGTACAGGATCTTGCCATCACCTGTTCGGTCAAACAGCTCAAAGGCCTCTCTGAACTCTGAGATGTAAGGAGAAGGCAATGTTGACCAGGGATCCCATCACCTCCAGACACAAGGGAAGTTTCGTTCGGAAATTACGTGCTAGAGCTGGGCAGAGCACTGTGTGCTACAGCTGGACCAAACCAGGGAGGAGAACAGGACAAGTGTGGGAGGGGTTTCAAGGTCAGGACTGTAGTTAAGAGAACAGAGAATCTGACCAGGGGTTTGGGATAGGACAATGGGGCTTAGGAAATGGCTTCTCCTCACCCTCCAGCTGGTCCTTGTTAAACTCGATCTGTAGGGGGGAAAAGAGCAAATGAGGAGAGATGACAGGGCCTTTTCAATCCCTCTCTCACTCTCCCAGCCCACTGGCTGCCACTTGTGGGGAGGGGCCCAAAGGGGTGAGGCTGGGAGCCCCGCCACTTCAGTCCATTCCCTGCTCTGGGCTTTGGGAGAATCCCAAGAGGAATTATAGGGGGAGGGTTTCCTGGGAACAGGGTTAATCCCATGCCACCTGTTCCCTCCACTGCCCGAGTCCTGCATCCCTCACATAACTGGGGGCTGAACAAAGGCTAAATTTACCCCTGTCCCCAGCTGTGATTGTCTAACAAGCCTGTCCTCTTCGGTCTCCCCTGAAGTTCAGAGATGTGGCCTTTTGAGTTAAACAGCTAGCCAGGGGTAGATAGCAGCTCTCTCCCTTCACCTTGAAACTGGCCTGGCCTAGGAACCCCCAATCTCATTACATTGTTCATTCATTCCCTACCACCCCCCCCCCCCCACGCACACACATATCCCCTAGCCCCCCGGACTGTATAGCATCCGTGAACCACCCCTTCCAAATTCACACTTTCCTGGCACTCACCACCACTTTGGAGAGGTCAACAGGGGGCTCCTGGGTTTTGGCAGGGGTCTGGGGGGCAGCTGGCTCAGCCTTGGTCTTGGCTGGAGGGGTCCCTGCTGTAGGCTTGGCAGCAGGCTTAGAGATGGAGGGCCCTGCTGGTTTCTTCACAGGAACATCTTTCTTGGGAGGCATGATGTCAGGTGGCCAAAGGACAGTGTGCCGATGGGGGCACCCATCTCTGTTTAAATAGGCAGGGAGTCTGGGATGTCAAGGGGCGGGGGCAGGGGCAGGGAGCCAGTTGGCGGTGGCAAGGGTGAGGGACAGGAGAGTTTTGCCTGTCTGCCTTCACTCCCCTGGCCTCCTGTAGTCCAGGACTCCTGCCCCAAAGTTTTCCTCCCTCTACTGCTCCTCCCCCAGAGCTGACTAGAATATTGTTTTCTTTAAAGGTAGGGGGAAGAAACAGGAGACTTCTCAACCCCCAGGGTAAGAATAGGATGCTTGTCAGTGATACTGAGATAAGGGGTGGGGGGGAGCTCGACAAACGAAAACTGGCATTAGCTTTACACTGTAGAGGACCCAGGCAATGGAAGGATTTGGCGATGGAGGGGGGGGGGGGGGCTGGCCAGTATAGGAGCCTAGTGTGAAGTGGGAAATTTTTAAATAAGTTCTGAAAACAGTAAAAGGTGGTAGCCGGGTAGTGGTGGTGCACGCCTTTAACCCCAGCACTCAGGAAACAGAGGCAATCGGATCTCTGTGAGTTCAAGGCCAGCCTGGTCTACAGAGTGAGTTCCAGGACCGCCAGGGCTGCTATACAGAGAAATGATGTCTCGAAAAACAACAACCAAAAAGGTGATGAGGTCTTTCCCCTCTCTTCCGCCCAAACCCACAGTTAATGATCATTAGGACATGTAGACCCTGTCCCTGGGCCCTCACCTACCCCCAAACTGGAACTGTGCACAGCAACCAAAACATGACATTACCCACTGTCTGCTGCACCTAGTGTTGACTTAGGGGTGCAGGTGTAAACAAGGTTTAGGTTTAACATCTGCCACACATACTTCCAAAGAAAGAACGTTTTTTTCCACAAGGTTCTGTTAATCAAATCAGACAAAAGGCTAGGTAGGATGCCTAATAAGCTTGGAGGGAACACAGACAGACACACACACACACACACACACACACACACACACACACACACACACACACAAAGGGAGGGCTATGGGAGACAAACCCAAGCCTAGATGCTCTGATCCGAAAGGTTACAGGATCTCCTACGGGTTTCATGGGTATTCCCACACCCCAATTAGGAGCATAATAAAAAACAGAGCTCAGCTTTGATTCACAAACCTTGCTGGAAGCTGTGGCAAAGAGAAGAGGTGTTTGGGAGCTAGAAGGAGGTTCTGGCCCCTCTATTCTCGGAGAAAGAAGATTTAGGTAGCATTCTGAGAGACTGGTCATTCCAGTTAGGTAGGCCCTGGGGATCTGGGAGTGATAGTGTGTCTCAAAGGGCGGCAGAATCTTTTCACTGCAAAGTGCCCCATTTTTGGAAAGTAAGAAATCCTTCTGCAGACAACACACCTGTTTCTCTTATTCACACTCCTAAACCTTAGAGGGAAAAGGCCCACCCAACCCTGCAAAACTCACCTTGCCGGGTGCGAGGAAGGGGCGGGGGCGAAACGCAGGGCTGCTCCGGGCCCTGAAGGGTTAACTGCGGCGGCCGCGGAGCATGCCGGGAGTCGTAGTCCGTGCACGCTCCCTGGCTCTCCGGAAACCTTTTCTCCAGCGGTGAGAGGTGGCGGTGACTTCCGGCCCGCGGTGGCAGTTGGTGACTCAGGCTCCGCAGTGTGCGCGGGTTCCGGAACCGAGAGGGCTTGAAGCGTCCCCACCCCTGAGTCCACGGCTGCGGGCCCACGGACGCCCGCGAGGCTCGGGGCGGGGCGGGGCGGCTTGCCCTTCCTCCAGCGCTTAGCTGCGAAGGGCCAAGCCCGCGGAGCGGTGTGGCTGGCAGCAGTAACTTGCAAAGTTTTGAATTTTCTTTTTCCTCTTCATGTTTACATTTGATCTCAGGAAGCTGGTTAAGGTTTGCAGTTGGGCCTGGTCATCTGCCCCGACTCTAACGCGTGCAGGCTTCTGGTGAGGCCCGTGCACCGCGGTCTCCCCCGGGGCTCAGAGATGCCCTCCTCGAAATGCAGCGCTGGGCTCTGCAGCCCTTCCCTTTCAGACACCAGTGCCCAGCCTGAGCGCTCGCCCTTCCTCCCGGGCGTTTACCGGAGGTCTGGGTGCAGAGCGGGAACCGGACCACCGTCCCGGGCCAGATGAGTAAATACTCTGGCCGGGTGCCCCGTACGAGAGCTTGTGAAAGCGAGTGGACCAGAAATAGCTCAGGGTAGAAAGCTCCCAGCGGCGACGTAGGGAGAATGAGGCGCGAGCCAACTTGGTGGCCAGAAACGCACTTTTCCCTGGCTGGAGAAAGCTCCGAAAAGTAACAAGGTCTGCACGGGTGCTGGGGACGTAGCTCAGTTGGTAAGAGTGTTTGCTTACCAAGCTCAAAGCTCTGGGTCCCGGCACTCAGAGAGGTGGAGGCAGGAAGAATCAGATGTCATTGACCTTACGTCCAGAGTTCAAGCCAGCCTAGGCTACCCGAGATACAGTCCCAGAAAACAGAAAGAAAAATAAATAAATAAATAAATAACATGATATAGGAAACAATATTCCTAGGCTCTGCTCCTGAGACTGGGGTCACTTTCCGTGGAGGTGACAAAAGAGTGTGGGCTCGACAAGCCTGTATTCTCATTTGACCCTCTCATAATTAGACATGTTAACATTTTTAAGGTTTGTTTGTCTATTTATTTATTGAGGCAGAGTCTCTCTACATAGCCCTGACTGTCCTGGGACTCACTGTTTAGACCAGGCTGGCCTGGAACTCACAGAGATCCACCAGTCCCTCCCTCTCAAGTGCTGAGATTAAAGGCGTGTGTCACCATGTGCCCAAGGCTTTATTTTTACGAGTGAGTGTTTTGCCTCCATGTATGTGTGTGCACCATGTGCATGCCTGGTGCCTGGGGAGGGCACAGACCGAATTGGATCCCTTGGAACCGGAGTTACGGAAAGTTGGACAGGGCTGTGAGGGTGTCCAGTGCTCTTAAACATGGAGTCATTTCTCCTGCCCCGTGATTAGACATGTTCACATGTGTAAGACAGAATGGAGTGTAAGTGCTACAAACATGTCAGGGAAGATTTACTTCACAAGGTTAGGATTTCTGTTCCACTTTTTTGTGTTTGTTTTGAGACGGTCTGACATCACCCAATCTTGTCTGAACTCCCGAACCTCCTGCCTCTGCCTCTGGGTGCTGGAAGGCCTGAGCTGTGCCCCCACGTCCAACATCCCCTTGTTTGACATTTTTGGAGGATTAAGAGGTGTGAAAAGATGGAAGAGGGAGAAGGAATACATTAATCATAAATAGTTACAAGACAATTTAGAAAAAGGCCACATTTTAGATGGCTTGTTAGCTCATAACTTGTACTGACGTTGGTTTTTTTCCAAGTGTTAGGAATAGATCTCAGAACCTCACCAACATTATAGCCGTGTGTCACCGTACTCACTTTATTCTAATGTTAGTTTCAATATAATTCAAATATATACATCCAAAGGAAAAAGGGTATATTAAAAATCCAATCGAGAGATTGAGGATTTAGCTCTGTGTACAGGGGAGGTGGGCGTTAGGAGAGCGGCTCTCTTGGACTGGGAACATAGCTCCATTGATAGTGTTCCCCGGCATTCACAAGGTCCTGGATTAAGTGCCAGTGCCAGACAAAGTGGGCGTGGCCGCACACACGGACACCCTCGCATTCGGGAGGTGGAGCCAGAATCAGACGTTCAGAGTCAGCCTGGCTGTGTCGTCTGGGTCCAACCTGAAGCGCACGAAGACCTCGTCTTACACCAGTGAAGCAGACACGGTACCTTCATGGAAGAACAAACAGGTATCAGAGAGTCTATCTCCAAAACAAGAGAATAAAGGGCTTAGGTAGAGCTTAGCGGTAGAGCAGTGGTCTACAGTGGTGCAGGTTTTAGGGTCAGTCTCCATCACATTCAAAAAAGAAAGACTTGTTTTGAGGCAAGGTCTCTCAGGAAGCCCACCCTGTGCTCTTAGATACGTATCCTGTGTGACTTCTTTTGTTTTCTGTTTGTTTTAAATGGTCTCACTGGCTGGTCTGGAACTCACAGGGACCCCTGAAAGGAAAGAAGTCTTGATGGGTGCACAGTAGCACATCATTTCAGAAGCTCAAGTAGCTGCTGGTTCACCTCACACACTAGCTGATGTGTGGAGATGGACAATAGCTTAGGTGGGAGACCACTCATTTTCTGAGTCAACAGAAAGACAAAAGTTAGCAAAGATAAGTGTTCTGGCTACTTTCTATGTTAACCTGACACAAATTAGAGTCATCGGAGAGGAGGGAACTGCACCTGAGAAAATGCCTCCATGCGATGGGCTGTGTGTGGGCAAGGCTGTCGGGCATTTTCTTAATTATTGATTAGTAGGAGAGGGCCCAGCCCATTGTGGGTGGTCCCATCCCTGGGCTGGTGGTCCTGGGTTCTATAAGAAAGCAGGCTGAACAAGCCAAGGGGAGCAAGCCAGTAAGCAGCACTCCTCCAAGGCCTCTGCATCAGCTCCTGCCTCCCTCCTGCCTCCGGGTTCCTGCCCTGCTTGAGTTCCTGCCCTGACTTCCCTCAGTGACGGGACTGATACCTGGAAATGTAAGCAAAACAAACTCTTTCATCTCCAAGCTGCTTTTCGTCGTGGTGTTTCATCACAGTAGTAAAAAGCCTAAGACAGGAACTGTTACCAGGATTGTGGGCTAGATCCCTGACAGACCTGACTGGTAGTGTATGTTTGCTGTTGGTAGACCGTGGTGACATTTGGGCACTGGGCTAGAAGAGCACTGAGTGCTCAGAACTCAGTAGGCTGTTCTGCGGGATCTTGAAGGACACAAATATCAAGGGCAGTGCAGAACTCAAGCCTGGCTTGTGAAGTTCAGAGGGAAGCAAAGACTGCCGGCCTCTTGTGTGAAGAATCTGCTGTCTGGTCAGCAGGAGCTGAAGGATCAGCTGTGATTAACAAGAGGCCGGCACCACTAAAGGAAAATCTTTGTTTTTCTGGGAAGTTGATGCTGGTCAGCTGGGGCTGAAGAACCAGCTGTGATTTATTGAGGTAAAACGTGTTTCCTCAGAGTTAGCACACAGAAGCTGTGTTCCAGAGGCAGCCAAGGTTGAGCCTCATGCTGGCCGCGAACTTGGTAGTGTAAGAGTCACCCAACTGAGACTGCTTTGAAGGCACGAAAGGGTCATATAAGAGCAGCTGTGGCAGGCTGGAGAAGAGAGCCCAGGAGAGGCTATTGGTGAAAGCTCGCCCCAGTTGTAGCAGAAGACCCCAGCACTGTGTAGGTGCCAGTGCCAGGGGATGACCACCAAGAACAGCAGCAGTGCGGGGTGGAACCAGCCTGACCTAAAAGACAAGGTACGTGCTGCAGAGAGTGGGGCCAGAGAAGGGACACAAACCCTCGGGAGAGCCCAGCTCGGGAGCGAATCCCAGCATTGGACGCTGAGTTCTGAGGCTGAGTTGTTGGAATTTGGTTTTGCTTTATTCAGATTATAACTGTAAACTGGTTGGTCTTGAGGTAAGAAAGTAACTTGTTTTTGTTTTTTGAGACAGTGTTTCTTTGTGTAGTCCTGACTGTCCTGGCTGGAACTGGCTCTGTAGACCAGGCTGGCCTGGAACTCAGAAATCCGCCTGCCTCTGCCTCCTGAGTGCTGGGATTAAAGATGTGTGCTGCCACCACCACCTGGTCTAATTTTTTTATTTTATAGGAACCCACAGTTGATCCATTTTGAATATTTTAAATAGACTTTTGACTTCCACTGTTTGAATATTTTTAAGATTTATTTTTATGTGCATTGGTGCTTTGCCTGCATATATGTCTGTGTGAGGGTGCCAAATCCCCTAGAACTGGAGCTACAGATGTGAGCAGCCATGTAGGTGATGGGAATTGAACCTGGGTCCTCTGGAAGAGCAGCCTGTGCTCTTAACCTCTGAGCCATCGCTCCAGCCCCTAATGTTTGAATTTTTGTTTGTTTGTTTGTTTGTTTTTTGTTTTTCGAGACAGGGTTTCTCTGTGTAGCTTTGCGCCATTCCTGGATCTCGCTCTGTAGACCAGGCTGGCCTCGACCTCACAGAGATCCGCCTGCCTCTGCCTCCCGAGTGCTGGGATTAAAGGCGTGCGCCACCACCGCCCGGCAATTTGGGGATTTTTATATTGTAATGTTGATATTTATGTGTGGTCGTGGAAATGAACAAAAAAGGAAGGGTTATGACTTAATAGTGATGTGTTTGTGTGTCAAGTTGACAAGGATCATTATCTTTGGTCTGATGTCACCCTGACACAGGGTGTCATTTGAGAGATGGGAACCTCAATTGAGAAAATGCCTCCATAAGATGGGAAAGTCTGTAGGGCATTTTCTTAGTGATTGATGTTGGTGGGCCAGCCCAATGAGGGTGTTGCCATCCCTGGGCTGCCAGTCCTGTGTGCTATAAGAAAGCAGGGTGAGCAAGCCAGGAAGCAGCTCCCCTCCACGGCCTCTGAATCAGCTCCTGCCTCCAGGTTCCTGCCCTGCGTGAGTCCCTGCCCTGACTTCCTCCATCATAAAGTGTTACCTGGAAATATAAGCAGAACAAACCCTTTCCTTTCCAGCTTGATGTTGGTCCTGGTGTTTCATCACAGCAATAAAAATCCTGAGAAAGTAGTAACCCCCAATAAAAAGGATGATAATGAGGAGGTCTTACGATAGCTCACGAAGCCCTTCTTAGGCTCTTTTTATAGATCTGTGTGAGATGCAAGATATAAATAGGAAAGTTGGTTTTAACAAGTAAAGCCAGTTTCCTTTTCTAAGGCAGAAGTCACAGAATTAGCTGTTCTTTAAAATCTCCTGGGAACTTTGTATGCCAGCAAACTTGTAGATTGCTCCTCGGAGTCTGTGCTGGGGCCTAGAAATCTTGTAGTTTTTTTTAGCCCATTGGAAAGCACAGAGAACAAACTACCAAGCACATGGGTAATCCAACCCTTAATAAACAGTGATAATTTCAAAATGTACTTTTTTTTTAAAAGGTCTCTCGCTATAGTCCTGGCTGTCCTGGATTCACTATATAGACAAACTTGGAGATCTTCCTGCCTCTGCCTCCTGAGTGCTAGGGTTAAAGGCATGTGCCACCAAACTCAGCCTTCAAAATGTACTTTTAAAAAAAAAGGTTTTTGGCCAGGCGGTGGTGGCGCACGCCTTTAATCCCAGCACTCGGGAGGCAGAGCCAGGCGGATCTCTGTGAGTTCAAGGCCAGCCTGGGCTACCAAGTGAGTTCCAGGAAAAGGCGCAAAGCTACACAGAGAAACCCTGTCTCGAAAAAACAAAAACAAAAAAACAAAAAAAAAAAAGGTTTTTGGAGCCGGGCGGTGGTGGTGCATGCCTTTAATCCCAGCACTCAGAGGCAGAGCCAGGCGGATTTCTGTGAGTTCGAGGCCAGCCTGGTCTACAGAGTGAGTTCCAGGACAGGCTCCAAAGCTACAGAGAAACCCTGTCTCAAAAAACCAAAAAAATAAAAATAAAGAAGGTTTTTGTTTTTGTGGAGGTGGGTGGGTGCTAAGGTCAGAGGACAACTTGTGAGAATTGGTTCTTTCTACTGTGTGGGTTCTGGGGTCAAACTCGGGTTGTTGCAGTTGGTGGCCAGTGGCTTTAACAGATAGCCATTTTGCCCACCCACCTCAGAATGTACTTCTGTCCCCTCCCTATTTGAAATCCTTCCCTATTTGAAATCCGGCCTGTGTGTATTTTATTTTTGTTGTGAGACAGGGCTGGCCTGGGACTGGTTTATACCGGAGGAAGGCAGTGAACTCCTGATCCTTCACCTCCCAAGTGCTGAGATTACAGCATTTGCCCCCCAAACAGCTTTTTGTCGCTGGTTCTTTGTTTTTTAGAGACAGGACCTTACTCTGTACCCAGGCTGTCCTGGAACTCACTATACGGCCCACTCTATCCTTAGACTATGACGGTCCTCCGCCTTAGCCTCCTGAGTGCTGGGGTCACAGGCACCAGCCACAATGACCAGCTCTTACCAGCTTTCATGTGTTTTGATAAAGATTTGGCGGTGGGTATAGATCAGAGACTGAGCTCTTGCCCAGCATGCTGGCACAGCCCACCAGGGAGCACAGTTTCAAACATGTATTTCCTGTACTGGCCGAACTTCTGTCCAGCCACACCCAGTAGCTTGCAGATCTTCAGAGATATCCTGTCTTAGTTGCTCAGGTTGTTCCCTTGGTCTTTTATGCCCTCTTCCACCACGCACACGCACACAGATGCACACACACACACACACACACACACACACACACACACACACACACTCTCTCTCGAGCATACACACAATCACTGTCCAGCATCAAGCAGAACCAGGTCACTTGGCTCATATGCAATCCTGAAATATTTGTAGAATGAATGGATGCCTGGCAAAAGTCAAGAGTAGATATGACATTACAACTCATGTAAGCAGGGAAGGACATGGGAGGCCTGAGGGATGGCAGCATTGCCTTGCATTAAACTGTTTACATTTCCACCCTGAAACTGGTGAGGTGCTTTGACTTGCTAAGGAGGAAGTAGTCAGAGATGACTCTAGAACGTGGTAAAGATTTGAAATAGATGCTGTAAAAGAAGGGAGAGGGCTCCCTGGGCTCCAGTTAACTCAGATACTTTAAATTGAGCTTTTGAGACAAGGTCTCACTATATAGCCTTGGCTGTCCTGGAGCTCCTCAGAGATCCACCTGGGGCAGATCTCTGTCAATTTCAGGCCAGCCAGGGCCACAAAGTGAGACTTTCAAAAAACACCTCCCCAAATTTTATTTGTATGTGGATGATGTATCTGTGGGCTTATGTGTCAAGGTCACAACTTCTTCCACCTCTATGTGGGTCTAGGGCTCAAACTCAGGTCATCAAGACTTTGTGGCAAGCTGGGCAGTGGTGGCGCACACCTTTAATCTCAGCACTCGACAGGCAGATCTCTGAGTTGAGGCCAGCCTGGTCTACAGAGTGAGTTCCAGGAGAACCAGGGCTACACAGAGAAACCCTGTGTGGTAGTTTGAATGTAACTGGCCCCTATAAGATCATAGGGAGTGGCACTATTAGGTGTGGCCTTGTTGGAGGAAGTATGTCACTGTGGGGGTGAGCTTTGAGGTCTCCTGTACCCAAGCTCTGCCCGTGTGGACATAGATTCCTGCCGATGCCTGAGGATCAAGATGTAGAGCTCTCAGCTCCTTCTCCAGCACCACGTCTGCTGCACACTGCCATGTCCCACCATGGTAATAATGGCATAACCTCTGGAACTGTCAGCCACTCAGTTAAGTGTTTTCCTTAGTAGAGTTGCGGTGATCATGGTGTTTCTTCACAGCGATAGAAACCCTAACTAATAATCTGCCTTGAAAAACAAAACAACAAAAAGACTCTGTGGCAACTGCTTTTACCCACTGACTACCTTACCTACTGTGTACCTGGTGTCCAGAGTCCAGAAGAGGGCATAAGATCCCTGAGACTGGAGTCACAGACACTTGTGAGCTGTCATGTGGGTGCTGGGAATGGAACCCTGTGTCCTCTGCAAGAGCAGCCAGTGCTCTTAACTGCCCAGCCATCCTTCCAGCCCACGTGTGGGGCTTTTTGTTTGTTTGTTTGTTTGTTTTTTTAAGCTTTTTTTTTTTTTTTTTTTTTTTTTTTTGGTTTTTCGAGACAGGGTTTCTCTGTGTAGCTTTGCACCTTTCCTGGAACTCACTTGGTAGCCCAGGCTGGCCTCGAACTCACAGAGATCCGCCTGCCTCTGCCTCCCGAGTGCTGGGATTAAAGGCGTGCTCCACCACCACCCGGCGCTTTTTTTTTTTTTTTTAAGATTTATTTATTTTTATTATGTATACAGCATGTATGACTGCAGGCCAGAAGAGGGCACCAGATCTCATTACAGATGGTTGTGAGCCACCATGTGGTTGCTGGGAATTGAACTCAGGACCTCTGGAAGAACAGTCAGTGCTCTTAACCTCTGAGCCATCTCTCCAGCCCCCTTGTTTGTTTGTTTGTTTGTTTTTTTCAAGACAGGGTTTCTCTGTAGCCCTGGCTGTCCTGGAACTCACTCTGCAGACCAGGCTGGCCTGGAACTCAAGAGATTCACCTGCCTGTGCTTCCCGAGTGCTGGGATTAAAGGCGTGGGCCACCACCACCTGGCTGCATGTGTGTTTTTAAATATTTAGACTTATTTTTGTGTATGGGCACTTTTTTTTTTTTTTTAATTTTTTCGAGACAGGATTTCTCTGTGTAGCTTTGGAGCCTGTCCTAGAACTCAGTCTGTAGATCAGGCTGTCCTGGAACCTAGAGATCCATCTATCTTGCCTTCTGAGTGCTGGGATTAAAGATGTGTGCCACCACCGCCTGGTTCACGTATGGGCATTTTGCCCTCAGATATGTACATGCACCATGTACATGCCTGGTGCTCAGTGTCCAAGAGGGGAGGAGAGAGCATCGGATCCCTTGGAACTGGAGTCAGACTGCTGTGAGCCACCAGGTAGGTAGTGGGAACCGAAGTTGGTCCTGGGCAAGAGCAGTATTTATTTTGAGACAGGGTCTCTTTATAGCCCTGGCTGTCTGGAACTCTATCAGGCTGGCCTCCTGTGTACTGGGATTAAAAGCATGCACCACGATGCCTGCCAGACTTTAACTGCTTTCTGTTAAATTTCTAGTTCCCAGCTGACTTCCTTTTACATCTTGTTGACTATAACTGGGTCATAAACCAAGTCAGAGAGGGGGCTGGGAAAGCGTTAACTCCTTAGGGCTAGTGCACTGCCCACAGGAATGCCGGAGGACTGTGTGTGGGGAAAAGGGGAAAGTCTGGCCAGATGACCGAGTTGCCACACTCACTTAACTACTCATAGTTTGGGTCAATAAAGCCATATTCCAAGAAGGGAGTAGCCGGTCTGTCACTGTTAAAAGTGCATTGTTTGGGGGCTGGCTAAGGCTATAGCTCAGTGGTAGAGCATTAGGCTGGCATGTGTGAAGCCCTGGGTTTGCACCCTAACTACACACACACACACACACAGTGAAAACGGCTGGGCATGCTGAAGTGTGCTTGTAATTCCAGAACTCTGGAGGCAGAGGCAGGAGGACTGTTTAAGGCAAGCCTGGGCTGTGCAGCAAGATGTTTCAAAACTATTTCCTGGGGAGATAGCTGGCTATACAAGCATAAGAACCTGAGTTTGGGCCGGCACATAGGAGGCGGCAAATCTCAATGAGATCGAGGGCAGCCTGGTCTACATAGCAAGTACCAGGCCAGCCAAGGGCACATGGTAAGATCCTATCTCAGAAGACAAGAGCCGAGGACCTGCAGAATGGTTCAGTGGGTAAGGCTGACTACCTTGATTCCTAGACCCACAAGGCAGAAGGAGAAAACTAACTCCTCCAAGTTGTCCTCTGACCTTCACATACATAGAGCTACCGGTACATGTGCACATGTACACACACACTAAATCACTGCGATAAAATGAAAAGCGAAGGTGGCCGGTTGAGGGACAGCAGTTGACTTCTGACCTCCATACACACACTCAAGCATACCTGCAACACATGAATGCATACATACACCACAAGCCAGGTCCAGTGGCATAGACCTGTAGTCTCAGCCACTTGGGAAGCTGAGGCAGGAGGATCACAAGATCAAGGCTAGTCTGGACAACTTGGGGAGACTGCCCCCCTCAAAATTAAAAGAACTAAGGCTGTATCTCATCGGTAGAGCTAGCATGCATAAGATCCTGGGTACAGAAAAAAACAAAACTGTTTTGAGAAATAAGTATATTTAATTCCACAACAGCTGATTCTTCATATCCCTTTTAAAACAAAGAGTGATTATTTTTAGATTTACTTTGTGAATGTTTTGCCTGTATGCATGTGTACACCACATGCATGCCTGTTGGATCCCCTGGAACTGAGGTTACAGACAGTTGTGAGCTACCATGCGGGTGCTGGGGATCAAACCTGGGTCCTCTGCTAACACAGCAAGTGCTTTTAACCACTGAGCCAGCTCTCCAGCCCCTCCTGAAAACTTCATCCTCACATTTAAGGACAACTGTGTACTGTGTTGTCTCATGGCCGCTGTATAATCTAGTACTCCTCCTGTCTTTTGTAGCCTGACTTGAAGCTTGGGAAAGAGTAAGAGCCTTCCAGAATAGAAGTGTGCCAAGTCTTCTGGTTTTCTAGAAATTTAATTAAAGTGGTGAAGTAGCAGCCAGGCGGTGGTGGCACACACCTTTAATCCCAGCACTTGAGAAGCAGAGGCAGGCAGATCTCTGAGTTTGAGGCCAGCCTGGTCTATAAGTACCAGGACAGCCAGGGCTACAATAAAGAAAAAAAAAAAAAAAAAAAAAAAACAGAAAAAGTGAAGTAGGTCGAGTGTTGCTGGGGGATGTCCTTCTGTACGCTGTGAATATATGTTCCCATTGGTTAATAAGCTGCTTTAGCCTATGGCAAGGCAGCTTAGAGGCAGGTGGGAAATCCAAGGAGAGAGACAGGAAAGAGAAAGGCAAGTGGGAGAGATACCAGACCGCCATCCTAGGAGTAACATATAATGGGATGCAGGTAAAGCCAGGGAACACATGGTGATACATAGATTAATAGTTATGGGTTGAGTTAAAGTATAAGAGCTAGCTAGCAAGAGACCTGCCATAGGTCATACAGCTTATAATTAATATTAAGCCTCTGCATGATTATAAGCAGCTGAGGGGCCAGGCAAGACTGGAGGAACACAGGACCTCAGGGCCAGGCAGTACCTGAGAAAATTTACTACTACAGAGTGTCTTTTGAAATCATATATAACAAAACCTCTGGTTATATTTCTAAACAGCAGGTCTTGGGCTATATATATCTTTAGAGTTTGAGGCCATGCTGGGCTACAGTCTGACTCTGTCTTAATAAAAAAAAAAAATAATAGTAACAAAAAAACAGGCCAGTTGTAGCAGTGCACACCTGTGATCCCAGCACTCGGAGGAAAAGAAGTTCAAGGTCATCCTCGGCAGCCTGGGATACAGGAGACCCTGTTTCAGTGAAGAGAAAACTCCTGCAAGGTGAGTAGATCCAGATATGAAATATTTCTCAGCTCTCAGATGGCCCTAAAGCCATTTTGGACGTGGCTGCTGTCCTTGACACTAGGAGCCTTGTGCTGTGGTGGGACTTGGTGGTTTAGGGATGGTGGTGGTCGGTAGATGAGCTCCAATCTCCCCTGACACCCTGATACCTCACACAGGAGCCTTTGCCATCTCAGTGGGACCAAGTCTCCTGGTTACGGCAGTCTCACAGGTTTCAACTAAGTAAACAGACCTTTTCAAATTGAATGAAGGCTTTTGACGGTTGGAGAGATGTGACGGATAGGTTGGAGTTCCCATCTTTAAGGGAAAGGGCCACAGTTGGTTTGAGCTTGATGTTTAATAGAATATATAGTGGATTGACAGGTGGTACAGAACCCAATAACAGATTAGACAGAGCTTACAACCTCTGCGCTTGGTCCAAACACCAGCCCTGCTGTCCAGAGTCCTTTCTGCCCATCTGAGTGTTACCACGTGGGGCTTCAAGACCAATTCTAATGACTTGGAGGTGGATAGGACCTAAGTGTTCCCACTCCCCACCAAGTGAACCAGACATGTAGCCATCATAGCATGGATATTTAAGAGTGGATTGAGTAAGGCAGGGTGAAGCCGTACATTTTCTACATGCAGTCCAAGAGGTAAGCCTGTCTACCTTCACACCCACATGTATTCTTCCTGGTGCTCAGGCTCTAAGATGAGCATGGCCCTGGGCAAGGATGACGTGCAAGTTTGTGAAGCACTGTTTTCCTGTTTTTTATTATGTAAAAAAAAGAGCTTTCCAAAGGCTGTGTTTGGCATGAGCTCATACCACTCACTGCCAGTGCTGCCGGTGGCCAGGCACAGGTGCGTGAGGCCCTGAGGAGTTGGGGGAGAGAGTGAGGTGCAGGCAGAACAGGAACGAGCCAGCGTAGGTCCCTGCCCTAGGAGCCCAAAGGATAAAGGCCGTGCAGTAAGGGGTTATAGACGATCCTCTTTGGTCAGGCAAAGACCCTGATACGGGCCCAGAAGGCAAAGGGCTCAGGCTCAGCCCTGGAGCTAGCGGTCGGCTCACCACACGGAGGCAAGGGGCGCTGCAAGAAGACAGACGTCAGGCTGTCGTCTCCAGCTCCTAGGGACCGCCCTTGTCTCTGTCATCCATCAGGTCATACCTGGGGGACAAGGACAGAGCTCAAGCAGAAGAAAGACTCACATCTGTCTGTCCAGGCTGGCTGGAACTCAGTTCTCCAGCTCCCCACAGGCTGGGACCACAGCCATGAGGCCAGTTGTCTTCTCTCATAAGTGAAAGACAGGCCTGTAGCTTCTGTGCTTAACGGAATCCACGACATCTCTTTTCTTCCTGTGATTGGGATTTCCCCACTGCACCTAACCAGCCCCGCCCACTCCCACCCACTCCTTCCAGACACTCACCACTGGGCTGCACCCTGGGAGAGGTCGATCTCAGCCAGATCCAGCTGCACCTGGGTGAGAGGACGGCAGGGGCAAGAGGTCACTTTGATATTTCCAAAGAGCTTGTCACATGACCTCAAACAGCAGTAGAGAGGATAGGGTCACTTCCCAGGTGGCACCCTGGTTGTCCCCTCCTGAACAGGCAGCGGTGGCTCCAGCAGCTTTAATTCTTGCCTCTTACCTTCCCCAGAAGCTCACGCTCTCTTGACATGAAGGAGGAGTTTGACTTCACAGAAACATCGAGCTTTCGCCTGAGAGACCCATCCAGCGGCAGCTCCCACTCAAACCTGGGAAGGCACTAGGTATCAGAGCCCAGCTGACGGCCCGCCTCTCCGTGTCAACGCCCCTTCACTGACCGTTCGTTGAAGTCGGGGTTGAGGGTCCTCTTCTTCTGAGAGGTCTTCCTCTTGGTGCCTCGATTCTTGTCCGGCAGCAGCAGCAGCGACACGTAGGGGTCCGGGAGATCGCGGCCGTTTTGCCGAAGGGCCCTGCAACAGAGGGTGTGGGCACTGAAGCGCCCGAGGGGCACTGAGGATGCGGGGACCGCAGAGGAGGACAGGTGGGCAGGGTCTCACCGGCAGCTGTGAACAATGCTGACCAGCTTCTGCTCGTCGCTGTGGTACCAAACCGTCAGTCTCACCTGGCCCAGAGGCCCAACAGGAGCCTCCGAGGGGCTGTGGGAAGACGGACAGATGGCATCTAGGAAACCCGTGAGTCAGACTTCATATTCTTGCCTGCACACCACTTCATGGCAGTCTTACCTGTCACCATGCGGGAGGCGATGCCTGACCTCCAAGACTGGGGAGGTGGCGTGAGCGGGGGCCCCCGGGGCCTCGGGTTCCTCACTGAGAGAGGAGGCGCTGTGGCTGTGGGCTTCCACTCCGGAGTGCTGGGACACCAGGATCTGGGGGCAGGAGAGCTGTGAGCTGGGCGTCTCCTCACTAGAAGGGCACCACCTCTGCTCCCACCCTTTGGGGTTCAGCCCTGAGCCGCCAGGCCTCTGCCCACCCGGGTACTCACCCCCAGCTGTGCTCTTATTAGCACCTGGCCCTGACCGTTACTGAGCGCAAACCAGTTGTCCAAGCAGAGTCGGTCTGCCTGGAGCAGCTCGGAGAGAGGCAGGGATACGGAGCCCAGGGTGCCGGTCCCTTCACCCCGAACCTGTGGGGCAAATGCACTGGTCAATTATTGAAGCTTGGCATTTATGAGCCAAACACTGGGGTGGTTTTGGCGAGAGTCCCCTTAGGGAGGAACAGTACATTACAGCTGCTAGCCCCACCCCCCGAAAATAGCCTCATCCAGGCTGCCTTCAGATCCTTGTGATCCTACCTCAGCCTCCCCCAGGGCTGGGATTACAAGTGTGTGCCACCATGGCTAGCTTTTCCTAACTTAGTCTCTACCTTCTGCTTCATAAGCTCTCACAGGTTTACCAGTAGTACCAGCAGAGTGGAAAAAAGAACGGCAAAAACTAAAAGTCAGTCGCCAGGCGTGGTGATGCACACCTTTAATCTCAGCACTCAGGAGGCAGAAGCAGGTAGATCTCAGAGTTTGAGGCCAGCCAGGGCTACATAGTCTCAAAAGGGAAAAAAAAAGGCCTGGGGATGTAGCTCAGTCGGCAGTCAAGTGATGTCATCCAAGGCCGTCCTCTGACCTCCACATGTCTGCAGTGTGAACACTCCTCAAAAACGCTTCTGATCTTCCTGCCTCCACCTCCCAAGTGCAGAGAGAGTCACAGGTATGCACCGACCACCTCCAGCCCAAATTCTTTTTTAGTGCTGGGGACTTAGCATGCTACGCTAGCACTCTACCAGAGCTACATCCCAAATCCTTAGCATGATATTGAGAGGTCCCTGTTCTATTATAAGTCTCTCTATAATAAGTTTTTATTCTTTTTTTTTTTTTTGTTTTTTCGAGACAGGGTTTCTCTGTGTAGCTTTGCGCCTTTTCCTGGAACTCACTTGGTAGCCCAGGCTGGCCTCGAACTCACAGAGATCCGCCTGGCTCTGCCTCCCAAGTGCTGGGATTAAAGACATGTACCACCACCGCCTGGCTTTCTTCCATTTTTTCCCCTCACCCTGCAGGGCATTCCTGTTTTATGTGTGTATCTATGTGTGTGTAAGCTGCCCAGTCCGGAGGCTGAGACCTGTCACTGACCTCTCTCCAGACTGGTTGGGTAAAGCCTATCTTCCCTTAAGTTCAGACGTCTCCCAAGGATGCTTTTCTCACTGCCCCACCTCATCTGGTGGGACCTCGCCTTCTCTCCCCTCACCTTTACACTCAGTTACACTTCTGTAAGTATTCTCTGGTTACTGTCCTCCCGTAACAGAGTGACCCCCCAAGGTTAAGGACACAAGTGTCCTTCCTTCCTCTCCCTCCCACCCCTTTTTTCTTTTGTTTTGAAACAGGGTCTTTCTAGCCCGGACTGGCTTTGAACTCAGGGCAATCCTCCTGCTTTAGATTCCCAAGTGATTACAGGTGTGTGCCATCAAGGGCTTTCGCAGGGTCTGTGGATGGAGTCTGCAGTACCTGAAGCTCCAGGCTCTCGGCATGTGGCTTCCTGATGAGAAAGGAAGCACTCTCCTCCCAGATAGGGGCTGACGTTTGGGAAACAGTCTGTTGGAGATGAGGGTTATGATCAGTGGTGGGTACTCAGTCTTCCGGCCTCTTCCCTCCCACTCTGGGCAGTGAAGGATCCTCATTACAAAGCATTTTCTCCTACCTTGGTTTTATGGGAAGTCTCTCCCACAGTGAGGGTAGCATAAGGGCTGGGAGGCTTGGTGCCTTTTCGGAGCTGGAAGGACAGTATCAGTTATGAATTTACAAATTAAAGCCATAACCACCTCTCCTTTGCATTTCATAGCCCCCACCCTCACCTCATGGCTTTGGATAAATAATCTCACCCCAGCACCATCCTCCAGGGGGACCACTTACTCTCCCAAATCTACAAGGTGCACTCACACCCAAGGGAACCTGAAGAGGGGCCACAAGGGCCACGAAGCTACCGGGGCTGGGAGCTGCTCACCGGCAGATCTTCCGCCCGTTCCAAGTAGACAGAGAGCAGGGCTGCCGCCAGCTCTGAACTCTTCTGAGTCTGGATCAGACTGTTGACCTGCAGCACCTGGGACACAAGGCGGGCTGTGGAGGGGGCTGACAGACGACCTCACCCCGCTCCATCCTGTCTCAGATGTTCTCCTCACCTCTTCTAACTCAGCAGCGGTAGGTCTAGGGGTCAGCCGCTCCAGGCGCAAGTGTAGGCGGCCAGATGGGACATCCTCCAGGGTCAGCCACTGCAGAGACAGGCAGGGAAAGTCTTGAGGATGAGAGGATAGGCATGATGGAAAAGGGGGCGTGGGTCTCACCTCATGCTCACCTCGTCAAGGAAGCCACTGTTGAGGACTGTGGTGAGACTCACTTTGTACCTGTAAAGAACGAAGACAAGGGGCTGATGGTCAATACCACAGCCTGTGGGGCCCAGCATTATCCACCTGAGCTCCCTCCTACCTGCCCAAAAAGTCATCCTTGTCCAGGTCCTTATCAAAGACCTCAATCTCAAGCTCTTGGCCTGGAATCGATGTGACAATCACCTAATGGAAGAAAACAGGCAGATAAAGGGATTTCTCTCTTCCTCTTCAAATGACTGCCCACGGAGGATTGGTAGCACTGGGGGGCAGACAGGAGTCCAGGCCAACCCAGTTCTGACCTCAAAAACCTCATTCCATCGGGGATTGAGATCTTCCCGAACAACATGGGTCCGGAAGCTTCTCCCTGCCACCTTCAGCTTGACGTAGGGGTCTGATTTGCCCTTCACCAATCCCCCCAAGAAACGGTCTTTGGCAATTAGGTCCTGAGCCTCTAATACATGGATCCGAAGAACATTCTGCAGGAAGGACAGATGGGGCAAGGCCTCAGAACCAGCCCTGGCACACAGGCTTGGCGAAGTGTGGGCAAACAGGACCTTCTCTACCTCAGTCCCAAAGTGGCTGTGAGGCGTTGTGTGGCAGGGCCGAGGTGGGGCATCCACACTGCTGCCCGCCTGGAGGCTGTCCCTGTCCAGGTCCTGGGCACCAGGTACAGTGGGGAAGCAGATCTCCGATGAATCTAAGTATAAGATCTGTGAAAGACAGTGTGATTGCAGCTGATCACCGAGCAGGCTGGAGGACAGCAGGGGCTCTAGGGATCTGGCTCCCTTGCCTTGACTGGGCTCATCTCACTCTGTGAGACGTGAACAGAGGTCAATGTGAGGCTAGGCCTTTGATCTGAATGTGCCCCCCTTCCATGCTCTGACTACCAGGGGATCCACAGGCCTCCCCAGCACCCAGCGCTTCCGCCACCACCATACCCGCATGACCAGTTTCATGTAGAGCCTGGAGTTTGGGCCTGAGCTGCTGAGCTGGAACCACTGGTCCAGGGTGAGTTCAGAGGCCGTCAACAGGCGAGCCAGAGGGAGAGTTAGCGCCCCTAAAGTCAGGGCCCTGGAGTCGTCCTTCACCTGGCACACAGGAGGGGTGAGGCAAATGTGAACTGAGGAAGCTGTAACAGGACTCCACCCTTCCCCTCCAGACAGTTACAAACCTTTTGTTTCCCTCGGGGCATCTGTCATCTTTTTCAACACCACTGTCGTCCTACCTTTCCTTGTTCCGTCCCGAGGAACTTCTCATTCCCTCCCTCCTGCCTTGTTCAACCCTACTTGTCTCTCCTTTAGACTCAGTTGAAATCTTAGTTCCTTCACAAACTCTACAAATGTTTGGGGAAAAACTGTTCCTTGTGTGTGAATGCATGACTTACATGGAATGTGTCCCATGCACACGTGTACGGGTCAGAGGGCAGTTTTGTGGAGTTGGATCTCTTCCTACCTTTATGTAGATTCTGGGGATTGAGCTCCAGTCACCAGGCTGTATATCTTCACCCACTGAGCCAGGGCTTTGCTACCCACCCCACCCCCCCCACCCCCGTCTCCAAATCCGACCTGCTCTAGCCCCCCATGTCTTCCCTGGCCATCCTCAGAGGCTGTACAGTCAGCACCTCTGTGTTTCCTCTATAAAACTGACCAGTAAGCAAGGAACCTATGACCCTGGCTTTCATGACTTTTCTATGACCCTTAGAATGTTCATTTTACTGGGACACAATTTGCACACCATAAAAATTACTCATTTCAAGTACAGAGTTACCAATTACAAAAATCAATTCTAGGCCTGGTGTGGTAGCACACACCTTTAGACACTAAGGCAGAGAGGCAGGTGGATTTCTGAGTTTGAGGCCAGCCTGGTCTACACAGTGAGACCCTATCAAAAAACAAAACTGG